TAGTAGGTTTCCAATGTAAAACATTAAAAAATATTCAGTGAGCCAGAAGTCCAGTTGTCTCTGGTGTAACCAGCTGAATTAAGTAGAGCTACATGGGGAGAGGGTGGAGGCTGTGAATTTCATCAGCCTGAGAGATGTCTTTGAAACTCTTGCATTTTCATCATAGAAGAAAGAAACATCTGGACATATTGTGCAAGGCCCACATTCTGCTTTCAGTCATGTTGAGGCAAATCCAGAGCTGTCCCGATGGGACAATTCAAGATTTACCCCGGGATAAACAAGCACAGGATCTATCACCATATTTTTGATTTTGTTCTCTAAGCTTAACCTGTTTGTGTCCCACGTGCACTAATTTTCTGAAGTGTTTTCTTCTTAAATGAGACACAGGAGCAGGAGGGAAAATCTAAGAAGTCTCCAGTTTTTCATTCAATTGAGATGTTCATACTGATTAGCATTTTCCAAAAACCTTTGTCTTGTATCACCTTTCCTGAACTTCTTTTCTCCCCTTGGCAACCTGTAAATTATTATTTCTACCTTCCTCTCCCTCTACCTTGCTTACTCTTCTTTATTTTCCACTTCCAGTAAACAAGAGTGAACAGCTGAGAGTTTTGTTGTTGTTGTTGTTGTTGTTTTTATTTTCCACTAGCTCCAAAGACCTCAGCTAAGAAAACAAAACAAGACAGTTAACTCAGGGCCATGCTGGGAATTGCTCTTTTCAACTGTCTCCACTGTATGCCTCTGACACTCCACAAACTATGAAGAGCTGAGGGAACAGGAAGAGGCTGTCAAATGCAGCAATTTTGTGCTTGTTTGATTTATTTCTAATTTGTCTTAATTCCTCTTCTTACTCTCTGACTAAACCTTCAATTCTGTCATCTTTTGGACAGAGCCAAATTTGAAGTTGCAATTTTTTGAATGAAAAGTAATCTCAGGAGTAAGAATCACAAGCAGGGCATGATTTTTAGAGATTTGCTCTTGACACGTGAGGAAGTTAAAATTCTTTCAGTAGGGTAGCTCAAACACTTTGTGAAACCAGGGTCCCCGTGAAAGTATTCTAAAGAGAAAGGAACCCAAAAGACCTAGGCACAGCTTTGCATCCCAAGATGCTCAGCAGTAAGAGACAGCTCAGCTCCATCCTGGGTTCTGCATGTGGGTGTTGCCTTCTGTGTTTTGTTGTGACATACAGGGGCTAAGGTTTTGCTCACTCTTCTTTTCCTTCTTGCATGGCTAGTACATTAGTTATGTAATACTTTTTTCCTAATGTTTGTATTCATAATGGGGAAAAAGGGGTATTTGTTACAGAAGTCCCTGGAAAAGTGTCTGCAAAAAATATGGGCAGCAGCCTTTCCTCCCTGTCCTTGCCTTTCCTCCCACTCTCTGCAGTGCTTTACCATGAGGCACCTTGTAACAACTTGTAACATATTGTGCTTGAAATCATGGCAATTCTAAGAGAGATGCCTTTTCTCCAGGGAAAGTAATGTTCTTACCCTGTTAGACGTGAAAAAGCATCTTCATGCAGACATTTCCTGATGCTTTTCTTTGCCAAAACTAGAACAGTGGAGCAGAAGTCGATGCTCAAATAGCCTTAGTGTAAGGACAGTCTGATGCATATAATGCATATAATTTTAAAAAGTTAGCACAAAGAAACAGTTGTTATTTTGCTTAAACTGAGCTCAATCAGTAGCTAATTAAGTACAGACTTTTTCCATGGTTATATGCAGTTTTCAAATTCCTATAACACAAACTGGTTTCAGAGGATAAGTTAAATACAGAATGCATTGAGTTTGGTACAGAAAGTTTAAAGGTCTGCATTTTCCCACCAAAGCTATGTCATATCAACTACAGAGTGGGGGTGTGTGTGTGGAGGGGTTATGACCTCTTTTATTTTTACAATCATTGCCATGATTTCATAATACTGGCAGCAGTCACTTCAAGCAAGGGACTAGACTTTATTACTATAATTATATGCTAGTGTGTGGGCATAAAACAGAAAAACTTTTCTATAGACAAATGCCAGTAGCAAAATCCTTTTGTTCAACAAGCAGTCCCTTAGCAGTGTTATGAATATTATATTAACCTCAATAAAAGCTATGCCAGAAATGTCTACTGTACATGGTGCAAGTCCTGTGTTCTTAAGGCAGCTTTGTTCTGAGAAATGAACAGCATTGAGAGCATGCAGCACCTTTTCTTTGCAAAGCATGCCAGAGATGTTCACTCATAAATCATACTGGTCCATTGTGAGTGGTACCAACACCATATGAAATGGGGGAAAGAGACAGTGAGGGTTCAGTTGCTGCAGGTTTGTGCAGACAGTGTGGTGCAGATGCAGGACAATACAGGGTGAGCCACAGGGCTCAGCCAGCCCAGCACCCATGAGCATACTGGATTTTTGGGAGGCACAAAAAGGAAAGATGTGTCCTGTAGGGAAGATGAGGCACTGAGCCCCATCCCCACTGTTCCCAGACAAGCCCTCTGTGCTGCCAAATCAGTTGTCACCCGTGTGGGAGCTCCATCAGCAAAGATGAAAGGGTTGAGGAATCAGAGAAGACAAGAGCTTTGTTGAGGTCCATCACTCTTCCTCAGCAGCTTCTAAGGCCTTTCAGCCCAGCTATGAGAGTTGCAGAGCATGGTCCTACCAGCCACCTAAGCCTGACTTGTATGAAGCCGGGGCTTCTGGTGATGCATGAAATTAGAGTGCAGCCTGGGTAGTTCACAGCCTGGGCTGGGAGATGAGGGCCCATGCAGGATGGTCCCTGCAGCACAGAGAGAGCTGGGAGAGGTGGCAGCAGCTGACCTCCAAATGTGAGAATACTAAAGAGAAAAAAATTTTAGCCTGAGAAAAGCTGACTTTACCATGTGAAGTGATTTTAGACTTGATGACTCTTGTCTCATGAATCTGCACCACTCTTGGGCAGAGTGGTTCTGATGGTTGGTGAGGCAAGGGCCTCAGCAAGGGACTATTTCCTTTAGCAAAGGCTAAGCAGGAGTCACTAGCAATTTAGCAAATAGAATCACATAGCTAAAAAAAGGGATATAAACCACAACAAATCATTGATTTTGATTTTTTTTCACATTTCCAATAATCCTGTCCCTGTTTTTAATAAGGTGATAGAGGAATACAGAGTATTATCTCGATCTTTGAGAAATTTTATTGGTTTTCTGCAGTGCCTCTTTCCAGCTATATTAATTTTCCATCAGTGAATTATATAAATAACAGCTTTGTCTCATGTTAGCTGGAGCTAGTAAAATTAATTTTTTGAATATTTTGCAACAACATTTTTAGTACTTTAGCTGTTAGTTATCTGATTTGACAGGTAAAAAAAAGATATTTGCCATTTTTAGCATGTGGAAGCAGTATTGATGTATGACTAAATAGCAAGCTGTTATTATTAACCATTTGTTATCAGTCTTAAAACCATGCAGTTTGTGTTTCTGCTTGACTGAGACATTTCCATTGCACAAATAGTGTGAAGAATTTACATCTGAAGGCCTCATTTTTCTGTACTGATTTTCAAAATCATACTTACTCCCTTTTCAGTATGGTGTATCTGGTATTGACAGGTCCTGACAATCCTGTAACTAGGTTGAAACTTGGATCAAAAACTACCACATGGAAAAGAAACGCTGCTGTTCAAGTGCGTGAGGATGACCGAAGCTGATCTATCTTGCTTCTGACACCAGGTACATTTAGGAGTAGTTTTAGTGTGTGGCATGTTCACGATTGAAAATAAAAATGCAGTCACTAAAGACTACCAAAAGTGATGGCCAAACACAAATAGGTCAGCCCAGTGCTCATGCAAGAGTACTGACTTCCCCATCTACTCATGCCACAAATATTTTTGGCATTGTTTCCCTCAGCTGGCACAGTCTCTTGCAGGTGCAGTGTTCATCCTCACAAGGATCAATGATAGACCTTGTTCTGACTGTAACAGATCTTTGCTTCCCATTCAGCAAGATTAATGAGCAAAGACTGCCAGTGGTGTGTGAGAGCACAGCTTGGTTGCTGGTTTCAAGTACTCAACATGAAACTTCGGCAATGACTAAAGAGAAAAGGTACAAGATAATTTTATTGTACTGATGTTCAGATAATTATTATTCTCAAACTCCCACCCAACTACTCTTTCTCATGTCTCACAGACAAAGATAAACAGAAACTTGTTTGGTCTCTCTTTTCATACATGGAGCCATAGTAGGATTAGTAGAACACCACCAGGGCAGCATAGGGCTGATCTGAAGGTCTGTATAGCCATCCCACACTGCCTAGACCCTGGCTATAAAATTGAAATATATTTGGGAGAAGCAAAAACATCAAAGCATGTTCCCCAAATAAGCAATCATTAGGCCCGGTCTTAAGATAAGGGCCTACATTGCTCTTTTTTTTTTTTTCTGTTGAAAGAATAGGAAGGAATAACTCAAGTCAGTGACCTTGTTCAACATCTAAAACACCCGAGTTTGGCTAAGCATAAAAGATATCCACCTCTGAATTACTTTCACAGTGCACACAGAAGGCCAAAGGAGAGAAGGACCAGTCTGCTGTGCCAGCAAGGGGAATAAAATGGCTTTTACCCTTGCAGTGAAAATACAGTGACTGAAGAACAGACACACATTCTTGTCTTAATGTTCTGGGCTTGGTTTTGGTGAAGCACTCCACCAGTGTGTGTGAACCCTTGGCAGACCATGAGCCTCATCCTGGCAGGAGCCAAATGCACACTGGTCCTCACATGTGCGGTGAGCATTGGGGCTGGGCAGGGAGGCAGGTGCTGGGTGCAGCCACAGGCAGGGGAGAAGAAGAGTCAGCAGCAAAAACAAACCATATATCTCAAGATGTATCAAAAATATATCAAAATCCTAGCAACATATCAATTCCCCCAGACAGTTCAGGAGATTTCCTAATAGCTGTCTTGAACCTGAAAGACTGAAAAAAACTTAGTATTAAGCATTAATAGTTATAATTTATTTATATATTTTATTTATCAATATTATATTTATTACTACCTGAATTTTTCTTTGATCATCCCGTTTTCCTCATGGATGGTTCATTTCCTTTCCTAAGAAGTAAACTCACCATTACATGAAAATATCATTCAATTCCAGAAGTCTGCTTTTCTGTTTCTTTTTCTGATTCAGTTTCCAGGTCCAATGTGGCAGTTCAGGGGGTCCTTGGTTTCCCAATTCTAAAATGAAATATTTGTGTGTGAACTTCACAATTTGTGCTCACAATTTATCAGAAAAAATTAAACCCTATACAATTGTTCAATTCAGTTTGTAGTAATATCATACTTTGCAGAAACTGTTTATTACTTGTCTGTTTTTAAAGTTATGTGGAGCGGGGGAAACCAACATACCTCACGTGGGCCACTTCTCTAATTGGGCGTGCTAGATACCAAAGGGGACCATTTACATTTGCAGCTGCTGGTAGATATGCTAAAATTAGACTAAATAAAAAATAGCAGCTGCATGGGTAGAAACGAATGAAAGCTGATTCACAGATGAGAGGCAGCTTGGGGGACTCAAGCATTGCAGCTAGATTTGACACAAAGGCTGGTCCAGTGTCAAATCCTCATGCCTAAAAAGACACAATAGACCATAATGGTAAGCCAAAATTATGTTCAGCTCAACTCCATTGCTGGGGAAATCCTTTCACTGCCCTGGACTTCTTTTTCCTCCTTTTTTTTTTTTTTTTTTTCCTTCTTAAACATGTGGTACAATGTCTCATTATGTGGAACACGCTTTCCTTTAACATGTCTGCCTTCTTCTATCCCCTCAGCCTCCCCCTCAGACTTTCCTTGGACAACCACACTCATTGTGGCCAATGCCAAAAAAAGCCCACTCTCTGCTTGTGTCCAGCCCCATACTTGGTGCTAACTACATGCCAAGACATTGACAGAGTGCAGGATCTTTCTCAGCAGCCATGTCAGGTTGGTTCTTTTTATAGGATTCCCTTTCAAAATGCTAGTCCAGTGAAACTTCATGACCTCTTATACCAGCAGCTCCATCTTGCATTGCCCCGTGCATTATATTCAGATAAAAGGATATACTGTGGGATTTAAGGCTCAGTCTGTGTTACAGGGAAGAGAACACAGAATGGGCAGACTGCACAGGCCATGCTTTCTGAACAGCCAAACTGGATTTTCTCTGGACATAAAATACAAAAATTCTAACTGGTTTTCAAATGAAATCTCAGCAAAATTCCAGCCACATTTTATTAAAAGGACTCTCTCTTGTCAGGAAGAGTGGGACTGTGCTGTTCATGTCAATACAATATTATACGGGATGTACAGGATTCCAGTGTGGTGTGCTGGAGAAATTAATATGACAGCACAGAGTCAGTGAAGACCTTCATGTCAGGCTGTTCACTCCCTGCTACTCTGGTTTCCAGGAAGGCTTTTTTAGCTTGGACTCCTACAAGCACAGTTCCTTGAGAGCAGTCCCACATGCCCTCAGCACTCCTGAGGTGCGACACAGAACTTTTATCCCCAGGTAATAGAGAACACGTGCACAAAAGCAGTCTGATGTCAAACTCTCAGGCAACTTCACCTCCATGCTTGTGCAAAGCGGAAGAGACCCTTCAGCACCTTGTGAGGGCTCACATCCCTCTTCTTTCCACCTCCTCTGCTTCTGCTCCCAGGTCCTCCCAGGACATTGCCTCATCACCTCTACTAGACTGCTCCAGAAACAGCTCTTCCCATTTGGCGTGTGCAGGACTGTGCTGACTACAGACAAGCACTTAATTCCTGCTTGAACCAAAAGGATGCAAAAGCAAGGCAGAGGTTACCAACAAGTTGCATTCACCTTCAAACAGCATTTCTGAGCAGATCTTTCCTTCACACTCCTCTGCACATCCACTCCTTGCCCCAGGGTAATTTCCAGCAGAGCCTTGCAGCTGCCTGGCAGTCACTCTGCCTCTGCAGTGCAGCTGGGTTCCCAGATTAAATTCAGAGCCTTGTAGGACAAATTGAGTACTCCTACTGGTAAAAGGCCCACCTCCATAGCTGCAGTAGCAAGACTTGGATTTCTGACTTCCTCTTTCACTGTGAAAAGTTTTGTTTGAGAGTCGTCTCCTAAACTCTACAGACTCACTCTCACTCTTTAATAAAATTATTGGATTTAATATTATTCTCAGATTTTGGGTCTAGCTTCAGCCAGAAGGTCAGACAAAGTTTTACTGCCTTCCCTGCTTCGGTGCTCATGCCACTCCCTGAGAAAACAGGAAATATACAATAAACCTCCTTGGACTGAAGATACAGATGAGCCCATATCTCCTGTTTGAGGAACTGTTACATTAGAGGAGGAACTGGCTGCATTCAGAAGGGACTGCCCAATGTGCATCAGATCCAGACACATAATGGGTAGAGTTTGATGTAACTTGGGAGAGTGTTCTGCCAAAAACCAGAGGCAACTGTATTTATGAAGAGGAACTTTTGAAACTGTATTTATGAAGAGGAACTTTTGAAACTGCAATTTTGTTATGAGGCATCACAATTCCACTTAAGCCTTCCTTTAGACAAGTCCTTTCCTTGCTGAGGCTTAAGTGTCCTGTTTAATGGTCAATGACCTTGGATGCCAAAGCAACAGACAGAGTGGGGGCCCTGAGAGCTCTCCCACTTGTCCAGTTGTAAACCATGCTGAAAACCTGTTTGGTAGCCCTTGTGTGAATGGGGCCTTTGTTAGCAACTGATGAGTAGGATGTTCAGAGAACTTGGGAAAGTATGCTTGGCAAGTAAATACACCTAACTAATAATAAAAATACTCTTCAAATTTCCCAGGCTTCTTTGCCTCAGGCGAGAACAATAAAGTCAATGAATTGTTTAATATGAGGAAATAAGAGAGGGAAGAAAACAGGCATACTGTTCCCTGATGCTGTTTTGGAATTTCTCTTGTGTTGATTCTGTTCTGGATTGACAATAAAAGCCTTTGGCATGTATCCTGCAGAGAAATCAAGGATAACAGATGTGTGATTCTGTTGAGAGTTATAGCACAACTAAGCATAGGGATGGACTCTGATCTAAGGCATTTTTCATTTGTAGCTGGGGTGATCCTCTATCTGGCAGGTACATGTTTAATTTTGAATATCTTAACAAGCCAGAGTACTTTCATGGGAACACTCACAATGACATGGAGAGCTGTTTTAAACTGCAGTCCTCCTCCACATGAGGCCCAGAGCAGGCACTAAATAATGGGATGGGTGTAGCACATACCTGCCTCTGGTGGGAAAGAGCTGAGCCCGAGAACTGCATTTCTGCATATCCAACCAATACATTCTCCTCCCTGTAAAGCCAGAAGACAGAAAATAATTTTAACTCTTAAGAAGAGGCATAATACCTGTACGTAAGGCAGGAACTTCATTTAGAAATTGTCCTTCTTGCAACCTGGACAACAGTTCCACTATTTTCCCATCACTTTTCACAGTGACAGCCTCTCAATTTAAGACACAGCAGCCCTGAGCATTTTTAGGAGGCAGACATATACTAAGAGCTTGCAGATTAAAGCAAGCACTAAACTTGTTAAGTACTAATCTTGTGCTTTGGGAAGACTTATTTTAATTCTTGAGTTCTGCATCTTAAATTACTCCTTACATAACTTGCTGTGTAATTTGTATCTTTTCCTAGATAGTATATTGGTAATCTTGGCTCGAACGAGACAGATTTCTAGGAAGTAGTTTCTGTTATTCTGCAATTCCTAATTAAATACCAATGGATTTTTTTTCTTCTTATAGCAAAGAAATAGACAAAGGAGAGATATTGTTATCTAGGCCTACTTTTGATTGTGGTAAAAGAATCACAAAGATGATCTTTGCTTATTCTTATTCTATAAGCTTTTCATTAGGATGTTGGAGGAATGGTATTTTCTGCAATGCCTAGTGGTGCACTATCATGACAGATTGTTACAATATAGAGTAAGAGCACACTTCTCCATGCTGGAAAGTGCCAGGCACTTGTTCCTGTGTTGCTGGTTATTTCTGAGATTAAAGATCTCATCAACACTTAAGTCTGAGTAGTGCTAAAGGTGGAAGAGCAGAAGATGCAATGGGACATTGCAGTGGCCAGAGTTTCACGGTACGGCAGTCACACTGCTAAGCATCCAAAAGCTACCATGGGTTTCCAGTCTCTAGGGTGAACTTTATCAGAATACCACATTTTAAACCACAGAAATATGGTCTTTAAATGGGAAAACACAGACTTGCTTAACAATGTGTCCTCTTGTGCTGTCACTGGTTGTCTAGGAGAAGAGGCTGACCTCCACTTGGCTACAGCCTCCTTTCTGGCAGTTGTAGATTGTGACAGCCTCCCCTGAGCCTCTTTTCCAGGCTAAACAACCCCATCTCCCTCAGCCATTCTTCACAGGGCTTGTGTTCCAGGCTTTCCATGAGCCTTGTTGTGCTCCTCTTTTTCTTCGGTGGCTTCCTGGTTTGCAGCAAAGTTCACATTGTCTTCTCTTGATCCCTGTGAGAGCCATGTTTTCTCCATCATATTAAAGGTTCAGGTGTGGGTCACAGTTTCTCTTATCCCATTGTGTCTCCAAAGGCTGTATACATGCCCAGCAGCTGGACAGGATGTCAGTACCCCGCATGACACTCACTATCAGACCCGCCTTCCTTGCAGGCACAGTGAAGAAGACAGACAGTCTCTCTACCATGTAGGATAACATTGCACACTGCAAGTGGGAGCTCTGCTGTGGAGTGGACAAGAGGGAACACTGAAGGCTGGGTGCTGGAGCCGTAAAAAACATAGGGCTGTAGTTTGTAATCCCAAGGGAAAATTCTGTTGTAAGTACAATGCAGTGGAAAGGCTGGTCTGAAAGTGTCTATCCTCCCCACCTCTCCCTTCTGCTAGGATGGGAGGATGTCCGCTGCCAGCAGTGACATTCCAGTAAAGCCACAGCTGGTGTCTCCATGCGCAAGGCAAGCTGCAAGTTCCTCAGCTCTGTGGTCACCATCAATAATGCATTCACAGTAGAGGACAGGATGGAAGAGTCAGTCAGCTAACAGTGCTCTCAGGCTGCTCGATGGCACCACTGTCTCTTTGCTCACTGACTGTGCTGTGCACGTGCAGAGGGCTGCACGCTCCCTGTGAGGATACACCAGCAGGGCTGGCAGGTTGTGTTCTAATCTCAAGACAGGCTCAGCCCAGGCTGTCAAATTTGCTTAGAATGAAGGAAATCATGTTTTTTCCTGCCTTTCCCTCCTTCCCCTTACTTAAATAACCTCTTCTGTTAAGGAAGAGGCCCAGATGGCAAACAGCATGCAGCTGTGCTGCCCGGGGAATAGTGCAAGGAAACAAAATTCACTCAGCAGGAATAGCTCATGGACTTGTTGGAGCTTGTGTAGTGCAGGACTCCTTTAATCTTCATTTCCCAAGGTAAACTGCATACTTTCATTCAGCTGCATTTTTTGTATTCCCCATTTTCCCCTCCCATTTGATGCAATTAATTTAGGTCTGGTCATAGGTACTTGTGCAAGGCTTTTCACACTCAGGGATTCCATTCATACACAGGGAATAACATCAGGCATTTTTCTTTCCTCACCATGCCTGCACACACTCTTTCTAGACCATTTACTCCCTGATGATCAGTTCAAGTCTAGACACTTACCCCTCAAAATCTGCTAACCTCTAAGGCATATTCATGTGGATATGCCTTAACTCCAATATTGACTTCACCCCATAACAGGGGGACTATTCACAAAAGTCAAGGTGCAGGGGATACATCTTCATCCTTTCTATATCTTTTCTACTTCTGGCACAGGTATACACTGTGTTCAGTTCATAGTCTAAAGCTTGTCTCTCTTTTGTTTCTCTGTTCTCAGATGTCTAAAATTTTTATTTAGAAACAGAGAAGGGAGGACACAAAAGGCTTGCAGTGCTTGTTGATGTGTGTTGAGGGTTGCAGCCACAGTTGCAGAGTAGCTGGGCAGATGTGAGTGAGGGAATCAAATCTTCCTCTAGGCTGCTAGCATAAGTGTGATCAGATGGAAAGTATTAAAGGATAAGGACATAATTTTATGACATTGTGATCCACAAAGGTCTTCTTGTCCGGGGACAGCAAGGAGCAAGATGGGATTTATCAGAAATTCGCCAGCTAAAGACATTTAATTCACAGTATTGTTTTGGACACATTTTTTGCTTGTTTACATAAGGAAAGATGGGTTATAAAATGTAATGTGTTTGATGTTGTTTCAGGGAAGCTGGTTCAGTACGTGAGGATGGGACAGGTGTGATCACCACTGACTGAGAAGCAGCTCTCCTCTCTTTGCTTCCTGTGGTCATGGGCCACGAGCTCAGCAATGGTACAAAGGCAGTACAATGGGCAAGCTGGAGCATTGCTCAAAGGGGACAAAGCTAATGTACTTAGCATGTGTCCTGGTTTTCAGAAGTTTAAGGTTTTGCTGAGGTGAGTACTCTAAAGTGCATAATCTTGGCATCGCATTAATGCGGCTCTTTGCCAACAAATTCAATAGCATTTAAAATAAGCAATTTTCTCCTTAATATGCGTTTAAGAATCTGTCATTACTCCCTGGTTGTGCAGGTGGCATGATTTTCTGCCGGAGGCATGATTTTGTGTCTAGCTGTAGGTAAAGGATCTGCTGAAATTCTGTAGAGATCTTCCAGTTTTGTCTTATACTTTACAGGACTGAAACAAGTTATATTTACAGGGCACAACTGCTGACAGAACTGAATAAGCCATATGTAGGGTTATAAACAAAACCCCCTTATAACCTCATTCTTTCTGGTCACAGTATCTCTCATATAATATGACAGTTCTTTCCTTCTCTTTAGTTCTTCCCCTAACACATATTGCAACAAATATCCATGCCATAATTTTCACCGTAACTCCTCTGTAAGACATTAACTCTCTAGAGACCACAGTATGCTTGCTTGTTTTTACTTATATATGTATGAATGGCAGCTGGAGAGAAACAGTCCTTTTATTTCTTCAGCTAAGCTGAACACTGAGCCAAATACTCTTCTCCTGCATCTCCAGGCAAGTTTTCCCATGGTCCATCTACTGCCCCTTCACTGCAGGATAGCATGTCTTACTGCCTGTGCCAGTGCTGCCATTTCCTGGTTTCCCACTACCTGGAGATACTGCCTTACTTTCATATTTTCTTCTTGTCCACACTTGAAATTTGTGTTACTGTAATTCATCATGTAGTTCCAGTGATTTTAAGATTAAAGTCTGTATGCCTAACATCCGTCTTCCAAGATTCTGCCTCTAATGATTAAGACAAGGAAGAGGGACTTTGACTCCAACCAGTCATGGCTCTTCTGATCTCAACATAGAGAGACATGCAGAAGGGTAAAGGTTTCAGCCTGTTTGCGTTTCCCCTGCTTGAGAGCAGAATTCTGGTGTGGGTTTGGGAGGGAACATGTGTGGCTGGCTTCTTGTTGTGACAGAGTTCCCACCAGTGATCTACAGATGTTGATAACTTGGTAATTCTGTGAGTTATAAAACTGGCTGGTCCTGTTTGACTCTAAAACTTTGATCTTGAAACTCCTCTTGGGACCCATGAAAACATAGCAAACTCTACGTTTAAATGGGAGTTTTGCAGCCAAAAATATGGATAATCCAAGGATCATCAAATTAACAAACACTGTGATGCAGTTCAGTTTTGTAAACACAGTGGTTGCAGCTAAGCTCCCATGAAAAGCCACAAGGCTGTGAAAACTGAAGTGTTTATTCTTACATTGCATTCAAGGACACTAATAAAAATAAAATAAAATAAATAGATACTGAGACCAGAGGATTCCCAAAGATCAAGTAGGGAGAAAGTCTAAAATGGGAAAGAAAAAGAAATAAGGGTCAGTTATTGAAGCTGTTTTCATTTATTATATTTTCCCTACTGCTGCTTGTCAGGACATCCAAATCATCTCTTTCAAGAAAGATTTTAATGCTGGAAAACCTCAAATGGTATGTTTAAAGGAAAGACCTGTTTTCCAGCACACTTTTTTCTTAGCCATGCTGGCTGCAAAAGAGATGGGATGGGTCATGTGCTGGTGATGGATTTTTCCCATTGCAAGTTGCTCTATTGACTTCTCGCAATGTATTTACTGGATGAATCACACACAAAAGTGCTAAGGGGACCATGGAGTTTCCCTTGCAGACATGCCATGTAAGGGTTACATACAGCCACTTCTGTATGTAATCCTTAATTAGGTAAACATGTCCAGGTATTGGGCAATACACAGGCAGCCAGTATATATAAATAGACAAAGACAGCTGGAAGGTGGCCCACCCACAAGGGGCCGGAAGGAGTATCCCTGGAACTACTGGCCTGTCAGCTTGACCTAACTGCTTGGAAAGATAACAGAACACATCATCTTAAATGTAATCACACAGCATGCACAGGACAACCAAGGGATCAGACACTCAGGCAGTACAGGTTTAGGAAAGGTAGGTCCTACCTGACCAATTTCATCTCCTTTAATGCCAAATGATGTCCTAGTGGATGAAGGAAAGGCTGTGGGTACAGCCTACTGGATTTCAGCAAAGCCTTTAATACTGTCTCCAGTGCTATTCATCTGGAAAATGTGACAGGCTATGGCTTGGACAGGTGCACCCTTTGCTGGGTAAAAAACTGCCTGGATGGTTTGGCACAGAGAATGGTGGTGAGTGGTGCCACATCCAGTTGGCAGGTGTCAAATGGTGTTCCCCAGGGCTCAGTATTGGGCCCTGTACTGTTTCATCTCTTTTTTAATGATGAAGACATTCAATACAGCCTCAATAAGTTTGAGTATACCACCAAGTTATGTGTGGTGTTGGTCTGCTAGAGGGTTGGAAGTCTCTGCAAAGGGATCTGTACAGGCTGGAATGATGGGCTGAAGCCAATGGTGTGAGGTTGAAAACCATGTGTGCTAGGCCCTGCCATTAGATCACAACACCCCCAAACAGTACTACAGGCTAGGCAGGGTGCTGGAAAGCTACCCCATGGAAAAGGGCCTGGGGGTGCTGGTGACAGCAGCTGAACATGAGCCAGGGAGTGCCCAGGTGGCCAAGAAGGCCAATGGCATCCTGGCCTGGATCAGCAATGGTGTGGCCAGCAGGACCAGGGCAGGGATTGTCCCCCTGTGCTGGGCACTGGTGAGGCCACACCTCGAGTGCTGTGTCCAGCTCTGGGCCCTCACTGCAGGAAAGACACTGAGGAGCTGGAGTGAGTCCAGAGAAGGGCAATGGAGGTAGGGAAGGGTCTGGAGCACAAGTCCTGTGAGGAGCAGCTGAGGGAGCTGGGGGTGTTTATCCTGGAGAAAAGGAGGTTCAGGAGAGACCTGTCATCCTCTACAACTGCCTGAAAGGAGCCTGTGGCTAGGTGGGGGTCAGTCTTTTCTTCCAGACTGGACAAGTAACAAGTGAAAGTGACAGAACAAGACTAGAAAGCCTCAAGCTGTGCTAATTGTACATCAGGAATCATGGAAAAGATTGTCAAACATTGGAATGAGCTTCCCAGGGAGGTGACTATCCCTGGAGGTATTCAGCAAATGACTGGATGTGGCACTTGGTACTATGGCCTAATTGACAAGGTTGGACCCTGTGATTCCTTTTCCTACCTAAATGATTTTGTGCTTCTGTGATGTTCAGGTATCCCTTCAGGCCATAGAGGACACAGTAGTACCCAGTACTTTCACATTCTCTTTTGAGGAAAAAGGGCAAGGAGGAGTACAGAGACAAGACTTCTGAGCAGTCTGAGGCAGTGGTTCCACAAACTCTCTTGCTTTTAATCTGATTGCACAGTCTTATGCTCTCAAATTTATAGGCATCTTGCGAATCCAGTGCAAACTTTCTCTGACCAAATATTTTGTCTTCCCTACAGTTTTTCTCAAAAGCTTCCCACTTTCTTTCTTGAGTCTCGTTCCGCCTTTCTTGTTTTTAAAATTCAACACTTTAGGCTTTCCATACAGTGTTGGAGAACCTGCCCCTTCAGGTGTTCCTTCAGGCCACCTTCATAAAGTTCCATTCTCCTGGCAAATCCTCCTGCCTTCTCATCCTTTATAATCCCTGTTTTTCTCATGACCTGAATTATTATCCCTGTAATTTGTCTTGTCTTTGTTTGACTTGTCTACCTTCTGTGGGAAGCAGTGTAGAGTGGAGAATGGGGCTTGCTCTGTCTCGAAGTTTGCAACTATCTGAGTCCTCTTCAAACAGCAATAAATCTTATATCTGCCTCATTATGCCTCTGTTTCACAGTCTGTTCAGTCTGGATCTGATGGAAAAGCCCTCTGGCACATTGGGATTACAGAACAGCTCTCCCAGAAGTTCTGAGGGATCCACACTGGATTTTTCCTGTGAGCACAGTTCTTTCAGTCTACCCTGAGGCCCAAGAACACAGCAGGTGTTCAGAGTGCCTGAGGGATAGTCTTTTTCTTTACTTAAAAATTGAGTGGAAGAAAGGACAAAAATTGGGGAAAATATTACTATAAATTGAGAGAATACTATTCCCTGCTGGCAGGAGTATTTTGTGAGTCATGGTTATTTTCTTTTGAATACAGCACTTCTCTGAGCTGATTAAGTGGAATTAACAACACACTAAGGAATCCTCACAGTTCCCTGTTTCTCTGATCCCCGTGGCTCTTGTTTTACCTCTCTTGCCTTTGGGAACACTTGAGGAATTTATTAATGAGGTCCAATTACTGAAAACTGTGGATTTATAGTCAACATCCTGGCTAATGCTGGAAAGGAGCTTTTAACTCCTCAGGAATTTAAAATAAACATCAGAACCCACCTTCCCAGGCATTGTTGCTCCCCCAAACACCCAAAACAAGACCTAGCCAGCTATCCCTACCAGGGCACTGCAGATGCATCACCAGTTGAGGCTCCCAACAAGCAGCAGGTCACAGGCTCAAGATGCTTCTCAACACACTCTATCCACTGGAGAGACCACGGGCAGGAAAGGGTTTCAATTAACTGCCCAGTTATTGCCCAGCATTGCATTTATTTGATCAAATTACTTGTACTATGTGCAAAGCTCATGGGAATACTTGATGCTAACTCCGAAGGAGGGGTTGAGCTGAAAGGCACTCAGCAGATCCTGGTGCATCTTGAGTTCAGAGGGGCTCCTGCAGCATTGGCTAAATTTTGACCTTTGGCATCTTCTCTTTCCACAGACAATAAACCTTGAAAATGGACAGCTGCTGATAGCAGTGCTGAGAGTCCAAGATTGGCAAGAGGTTTCTCCACAAGCAGAGTGATGTTGTTGGTGTATAATGAAGGTCTTCTGTAAAACCAAAACTGATAAAACAAGGGATAAGTTTAGGTATATAGTTCTATATTGCTGAATAAAAGGAGCTGGTAATTGATTCCTGGTCCCGAGGACAGGTAAAGCAAATTTTATCACCCTATACCACCATCTACTTCTGGATGGGGTCCCTAAGGAACAATTGTTATTTTTGGTGTGTTGTAGGGTTTTTTGAAACATGCTTAAAAATAAAGACTGCAGACTTTTCTGCAATTTATATAAACAGTGGGTTTACAGCATAAAACTTAGTATATGCATTCCATGACCTTGAGTAGAGCGCGTAGACAGCGATGGTTCAATGCCTTTGGGAAAGAGTTGAAGGAATGAGGAACTAAGTCTAATGAGAAGAACTTATTCATGGTGCTTACTGGGAACAGCCCCGGACCAAGCTATTTCCCAAGTCAAGGCTGGGTCTTGTATTGTATAAAGCTAGCGGTGGTCTTGTAAAGCAAAGCTGAGGGGTGAGCAAAGAAATGAGCGCTGCAGACCAGTTGCTATCCAGAGGCTAAGCTCCTCCATGGACCTCTTTTAGCAGTATGGATGATCATGTCTCTCTCATGGATCTTTTATGAGACCTCAGACATCTTATAAAAGCTTGCAGGTGGGGCAGTAATAAGCCTCATTTTCCCTCTCTACCCAAAGACTTAATTTCAGAGAACCTGCAGGACTTCCTGGATACATTCACTGTTTTGTCAAGATTGTTTCAAAGGTAGCTGAGATAGGACTGGAAGGCAGCTACAGAGAAGTGTGCTTTTAGCGCCAGTATGAACACATAAGCCTCGCTTTGCTGAAAAATGGGGCTGAAATCAGATCACATCAACTCCATAGTGTGTTATGGGAGCATTATAATTTCTGAGCGCCTCTGGCCCAGAAGAAAATTATGTCACTGTGTTCTATAGCTCAGGGAGAATACAAAGCTCTACACTTGAAGATTTTCTTCATTCTTGTCTGTCAGCTGAGACTGCGCACTAACTTTTAGTATTCTACTAGCCCAGAACTGGGGCTATAGTAATTCCATATTTCAAAAGGGAAAATAGTCCCTTTCATTGCCTGTCTTATCAGGTATGCCAAAAGTTGTCCTATTCCCAAGCACTCAGCCAAATTCTAGGTAGCTCCACCAGTAATTTGCAGAAATTTGGTGCTCTTTAGTAGTTATTTATAATTTTGCTTTCCTCAGTGAGAAGCTTCAGTCAAAAGCATAGCACCAATAAAGCCTGAAGGGGCCAATGTAGCCTCAGAATATCTGTCCTTATTATCCAGCACCACCTGCAATGACAGTGACAAATACATGATTCCTTCCCAAGTATGGCAAGGAGCTCAAAGTCCTCCACACCAAGCAGATCAGATTTCTTAAGCAAACAGATCATTTTCAATCTGGCTTTATAGTCAAGATTCCAGCTATTGTCAGAACTCAAGGAAATTGTGGAGTTGGAGTACAGAAACCAGTGGCATCAGGCCTCATGTCACATCTTACGAGGGAAGTTCTACTTCAGGCTCTGCAACTGCTTGTCAGAGAACCACTGTTCTTCTAGAACAAAGGGGAGTAGCCTGGTGATGAGGAGCTGACATCTGTGGCCCTGTGCAGTCTGCAAAGCTCATAAGGCTGCACACTCTTTCAGCTAGATAAGGCTCTTTGGTATTTATGGGATTATTAGTTATTGAGAATTATGTCTGTTCTCAGAGTAGAACATGCCATTTAACTACATTACTCATTATATGAGTCACTATGTTGAATAACATATGCTTCCTATATTTGGTGGGATGAGCCAATACATCACACTTCCATCCAGAATGGCATTCTAATTAAACACCACCAGCCTTCCTTTTCAACTGTAAAAGTCCCAAAACATAAACTTCATTGTCATACAAATTTATTTTGTTTGGATTTTTTTTTTTTTTGCATAATCAGTTGCAGGACCTGCAATATTAAGCCAAATATGCTGGTTAATAGCACCTAGATTATACCAAGTTTGTATGTGTCCTAATGAAAGATGTGCTAATTGACAGCAGTCAGCTAGATTAAAACAAACAGAAAGAGCATTTAACTTTAAGGATTTATGCCTTTCCACTGGAACCAGTGAGACTATTCAGGTGCTTACAGCTGAGGACATGCATATTTGTTGACATGGTTGCTACACCATTGTTCTTGCAAGGAAGGAGTAGTGATCCATCATCATCAAGTGTAACGGGTACTAGGGGCTACTTTCATTAGAGGGAACAGCAAAATTCCCATTGATTTCAATGGAAGCGGGGCAGGCTCTGACACAAAAGTAGTAAGCTTGTGTAAACAAAAGTTACAGAAAACGTTCCTCATGACAAGTATTTATGATGGCTCTGGAGCCTGAGAGTCTTTTGGGTGTGGAGCCTCTGAAATAAAGCAGTTATTATTTCACTTTTCTTCAGTGCAATTAAGACTAAGGCACATCAACAGCACACTAATTTTGAGTTTGTGGTGCTGACTTCTAAAAGTGATATTACCACAAGTCAGAGGTTTCTGAGAAAGCACAAGTTACATTAAAACACATTTCCACCTCTATACATTTATTTATTGACTTTCTCCTACAGCAAAATTAGTTTTAGTTTTGCTGCTCTGGTGTTTCTAGAGCAGTGGTTATCGCTCCCCTAGGGTGGGGAACCTCAAGTTTATTCCAGTACAGAACCCCATTACAAATATCATGTAGATGCTCACGCAGTTAGGTGAATTTGCCTTTCCTATCCCATTTCTTACACCTTAATGTAGCTAGCAGACACCTTACTACAGACAGGCTTCCAGTTGAAAATAACTGTTATAGTCAGTTCTGGGGGTTTATGCCACGAAGAAATACCATTTCACAATGTTTAGATAAAGGTTTAGGTAAAAACTAACTCCACTACTTTCATTGAAAAGTAAGTAGCTGATTCCTCTATGACTCAAGTCAAGTGGCAAAAAGCAGGATAAATAAACCAAAAAGCATTTCAGACTACAAATTCCAGAGAGGCTTCAGCTCAGGATCCAAAACTGAGAGTATCAGGGTTGCAGAGATTAATTCATAAAGCTAATTCATAAATACAGAAGTATTTTCCATTTATAAATTTCTGCATCATATTTCCCAATTAGATCCTCAAATTCAAAATCTGTGTAAGACTTCCTTTTCATATTTGGAAAGTACAAATTATTGTCTTGGAGCCCAGCTATGTATTTGATAAAGATCTAGAAGGGAAACCTGATGAAGGTACAATAAAAAATAGATAAAAATTATCTAGCAATCTGCTACAGTTATACTTCTATTCCAAGTGTCTTCTCATTCTCTTTTAACTGAAAGTATGAATGCTAGCAGTAGTAATGCATTTACTCATTAAATTTTATGATCTATAATGGAATTGAGGGTATTGCCACTAGCCAGGAGAGTGCTTTTAATGTTTTTTGAATCCTTTTGAGCTTTTGACTTTGGGATATTACGTGCAGACACTTCTGTTATGTAAACAAATACATTGTTTTGTTCTTCACTTGAACTAAATTTTTTTATTTTTTCCAGCATCACTTTTTTTTACTATGGTACTTGGTATGCTTTTTCCTTATTGTGATGGAAGGACCAGAATAGCAGCAATTTGGAAGATTTTTTTAAAGTCTAATTGCTAGTATGTTTTATAAAATATGTCGAGATGCTGACGACTGCATTCTGAATAGATGCACTATTTCACTCAAGTGGTACAAGTGTGACTGAAAAAACATCTCACTAAAATCTTTATTTAGTGCTTTTCAGGGATCAGACTAGTTCATCACTATGATCTGGTTTTTAAATCCTTACATCTATTAATTCTAATTAAAATTACCTCTTTTTTTACCAGCCAATCAATTTATTACTATACCTCTTCAGTATAGTTGAGAGACTGACTACTAGTTGTTCTTGACCATTGGTTTTCAATAACATCCTAATTCATTACACCTCCTCTTATAGCAGCGCCTGTAAGGTTTTACAGTAGCTCTTAATCTTTAAACCTGAGATGGAAGTGTAGGAGAAATAAGAATTCTACCCGCCAAGGATTAAATATTTTAATTCTCCAAGAGTTGATATGAACACTTTTAAATCTAATTTTCTTACTGTTCTGAGGTGTAATTTCTCAATTCTAGTTTTGAATTGATGCCTCCTATGAGTTGTGAAATTTATTTATATTTTGGTCAATACTGTGTTAGAGATATAGCTACTCCTTAAACAAACTGCTGTATGGTACCTAGAATTGCAAAGCATATCACACAGTGAAAGAAGGCCGTGCACTCAGAGCGCAATGGAAAAGATGTCAGCTGTTTTAATAGCAGTTTATTTATAGATATTCTCTAATCTGGAACTTCACCATTTAAAAACAATATGGGAGCAAAATAAGACATCTGTACAATTCTTTGAGATTACTGGTTTTTCATAAGAGGACTATAAAGTCTCATCTGTCTGATATTAAAGGCTTAGATTTTTTTCCTGAAAATAAAGGATATCTTCTTGCAGAGAAATAAAATTAGGAATACAGACAACAAACTTTGCTGCACTTTTTTGGCCCATGGTCCTTCCACGTGAGAAAGGCTGAATTATGTTTTGTGCCTGTGTCTGCCTGTGAGGTTACACTGCAATGTATGTACTTGAAATTCATGAACAGACTTGACCAGAAGAGAAGCTGTTAAATCTAAAAACTTTTTGTGTGAATCCTGCCTCAAACATCATAATCTGTTTGTTCATCTGATAATGGGAGAGGCTGCAACATTAAGGGAAAAGAGAGTTTTTACATACAAGCCTTGACTTGAACCCTGACAGCTTTTTACAAACTTAGTGTAATATAAAGCTTATTCCTAGTTTTTGTGAATATGAGATGTTCTGGAGTTTGCAGAATATAAAACATGCCAAGTATGCCTTTTTCCTCCTTTCTTTCAATCTCTTTTCCTCACAGCACGCGTGGACTTTTCATGAATACTGTGACAATTTCCTTCAACAAGTTGCTGGAAAGGGCTGTCCTTGAGTCCCTGAGTTCTGGATTAGGAGCTAAATCAACTCACCTCCATGAGCAAAATGGAAGATAAAAAACTTCTTCCCTTCTCCCACTTTATTTTAAATCGGGGACTGCTTCCAAAACAGATATATCAACAGTGAAATTATGGTGTATTTTTTATTTTTTAGTAAAGTATTATAGCCCAATTGAGTGTCATGATACTACAGAATATTATAATACCTCATTACTTAATCTTCTGTGACTCTGCACATGGCTGAGGTATCACTGAGATAAATGGTCATAATAATATGACCATTTTTGTGCAGTGTCACATTCTTTATTTTAAAGTAAACTGATTCCATTATAGCGTAAGTTGTAAGGCTGTCTTGCTCTTTTATTAACAGAAAAGCTTCATTTTATAAAAGAAAAGGATGAAAGAACACACAGAGTAAATAAATCTTTCTTTGTGTGCCTCTGTTAAGTGTCTGTTTCCCAGGTGGTACATGGCAATACTGAAGGTTTATTATGACTGGGTTTTGCAACAGCAATCATACCCCAGGTAAGATTTTTTTACCCCAGGTGAAAATGCTCAGACATGACTCAACAAAAAAAGAGATCTTTGCATTCCTACTGTTAATTCTGTATGTTGCATATTAATAGGAGTTGTGGACAAATACTTCTGTGCTCACAATCTTTCACTGTGAAGCAGAGGTTCTAAACCATTCAAGTTCCTCCTGGTTTTCCTGTTTGTTTTCATAGCCTGTCAGAGTTTAGATGTGCAAAGCAATTTTCTTGTTACCCAATCTTCTTGCCTAACAATTAAAAGAACTTCAGCTATGCTATTATAATCATGCTGAGATAAACATTATGACCATTTTACAAATTAGGTAAAAAATTGAACAGATTATAAAAATGAAGAATTTTTAAAGAAAACAGGTAACACCGCTTTGGTGTCTGTGACCACTTTTCATTATGTGCAGATATGTCTGAACTCATCAGAGCCTCTGCCACTTTGTGTTTGTCTCCAAGGCAAAATGATCCTCTCTAGACTGTTTGATTAAGCAATCCAATGACCAGAGTTCATAACTGCAGCATTTCTGTGATACTTTCTGTGGCATTTTGAGCCATTTTTTGTTTCCAGTTGACTGCTGTCTGTTAGAATCTTACATCTGTCTTGCAACTCTGAATGCAGAATAATTTCAAGGCTTAGGTTCAGTTTACATGGTACCAAAATCTCAGAGAAGTCCTTGTGAGGGTTCAACCCAAGAAGTGAGAAGACTGGTTTGTTCTGCTCTTCTGAGATTGCTGCTTTCTTGATCACACCAAACTTAATTCAGAAAGGAAGATCCACTCTAGCCTTAACCCAACACATCCCTGGGAAGGAAGGGGATGGAGGCCCTCAAGGATGAAAGGAAGGGTGGGAGGCCTGACAGGTGCTTCTGGTTCAGACCTGTATCAAATATTTATTCATCGTGACTACAAAGGCCCAGAAACTGCTGTATAATTTCCCTTGCCCACTCTTTGATTTCTGTACTTGCATTTTGCCACCTTTAGCTTGACTTTGATTAATGAGAATCCAGGGCTCTGGCTGGGTTTTCTGAGATTTTAAGTGCAACTTTGAGCAACGTGGAGTACTTTCATTTGCTGTTTGTTACTAACTTCTTTTTTAGCCATGGTGAACTGAAAAATGTTGTTCTTTGAGTACTAAAAAGCACAACAGTGTTCAGGTAAATTGGCCTCAGAATCTGTTTCATCATAATGAAAGCATTTACATCACTGCAGAGGTTAATTTCCCTGCTTCTGCAGTGCTATCCACATGTGTTGGCCTTCCCAGGTTATTTTAATAAATGACTGTCAAAGTAGCTACAGGCATTCTGGTGCTGGAACAGAGCATGGTTTTGCAAGGCAAACATCTGTGGGGTTTTCCAGATGCAGGAAGAGCGTGGAAGTGGGTGTTATCTCTCAATGGAAAGGGAGGAATGTGGCTAGCAGCAGCAAATACACCAAAACAAGTGAGTAAATATATCTTTATTTTGCCATTGAGAACAAAATAAAATAAGGAAGACAAGGAAAAAAAAAAAAAAAAAGAAAAAAAGGAGAGTATAAAAAAAATTATATCTGCATGAAAGGGAAAATTTTTCATGTTTTTATTTTTGCATGGCTGTTTTCCACAACCTGGGACTGTTCAAAGCACAAGAAGGGAATTTCCCCAGGAACTTCTCACATTGACACAGCTGGAACTGTTAGGGACAAACAAGGTTTCATAGATGCCACAGAGATGTTGTGAGAATCAGTCCTGATTAGCAAAAGGAATTAAATTTTCCATCTAGGACTAAATAAAAGAACTTCTGCCTTCCTTCTGGCTTTCTTGGCTGAGGTCACACTTTTACCACTTCATCTTGGGTCACTTGGAGCATCAGCTGCTAATTTCATCTGGCAGGGAGGAGCCTCCCTCCTAATGAACATGTGGGTTTCAAACAGAGTCTGTCTTAAAATCTTTGACAAATTATGAAGTTTAATATATATTTTCTCTCAGAATTCACTTGATGCAAAACTGCCTGAGGGATGTCTTTATATATTCACAACACACATGAAAGAGAGCCAAACCAGGGCAGAAATGTACAGCAGAGGTAAAACATGTGTGAGGAACCTCTTGCTGCTGGGCTGAAGATCAGACAAGCTTATAAAAAGGGCAGGGAATGCTCATTATGGACTGAGTCAGCCCAGCAGCTGTGAGGCTCCTCCCTCCCCACTTCAATGATTTTATTGTTCACCCAAGCCACTGTCAGACACTCAGGAGAAATCCTCTTGGCCCTGTATCTGCCCCTCTGTTGGATGCAATCAGGCCTAGACAACTTGGTGCTTCAGTTGTCTTGGTGAGGTCTTGCTTGATGTGACCTATTCTGATGGGATGCAAAGGCAGGGGACACCAGGGCTGCTGTGCAGACCTGACCCGTGCACCATCCTGGAAATCACAGCTGAGCTTAAGTGAAATAAACAACAAATTTTCCCAGAGTACTAGATGAATGCTGACTAGAACTGCAAGTTTCAGATGCTTAAATTAGATCTCCCTGTGGCTGCAGGTGCAGATTTTCCCCATACAACTAATAATGGCTCAGACTGTTGGTGTATTTTTTCAGATTTTTTTTTTTTTTTTCAGATTTTACCACTCGGGTTCACTTTGGGCTTGGCATTCTCTTTAACTCTGCTACTCACTGCGCTATCAACTGCCAAATGCATTTCCAACAGCATAAAATCTGATAATTTAGAATTGCACTGTTTCCTGACCTTGTTCCTTCTTTTAAAAGTTATTTTGGGGAGGAAAAATGCATCTGAACTGTCAGGGAAAGGACAACAGTTTCCTTTCTCTTTTCTTTCTCGCCATTGAGAAAAGATTTGTTGGTCAGTAAGGAGCATTATGTCCAAGTCTCCAAGGACAGCCCTAGTCCTCTCTAAAACAGCTTGTTTTATCTGTGTGCCCTAGACAAAACCAAATGGCATCGAAAGAATTCACGGTGTTCAATGATAAAAACAAACAAATATATAAATACACACATATCTACATAAGGAATTCTAGACATTAAAAAGCCTTAAGACCCAAAACATGTTCAAAGCAGAGTCCTGCTATGATCTGCACCCACTGGTGTGAAATAAATGAACTTTGGCTGTCAACATCATAGGGAGTTCACCTGTCTGACATCAGAGACAGCCAAGGAGGATGCAGCCACAGAGAGGTTACCTGTTTTGTTTGAGAAAATCCAAGCCTTGAGTGCATACAATCATCTTTTCACAGTATGTTAAACAGTTTCTGGTTATTGGAGGGCTGGCTGATCGCAGGTGTGAAAGATCACTTTGTAATATTTTGTCTGTCTGTCTCCACAGCAGTTGTCCCTTCTGCCATAGTATCTGACTGCCTTTAATCTATCAATTTACACACAGGTGATGCACACCACTTTATTTTGGTTTCATCTTTAAAGCATTTTTGTAATATTTCAGTTCTCACAAGGTTCTGGATGCTGATATCCTCACAGTGTGAAGAGATAAACTCCTTGTTAAAGTTAAAAAAGACCTAAAATTCTTGCTCTGAGAGGTAGAGGGCCATCTGAACCTGGGGCAGTACTTAAAAACTCCTAACTTGTCATTTTGAATCTCAAAAAGCAGATATTGTTGCTAACAGTGCAAAGAATCATATGTACTGGTCTGGGTTAATGTGTCCTTCCCCTTACAACTTCACAGTGTAGACACTTCACTGTAAACAGAGATCTTATATCTAGCAGTGTGTGTTAACAAGTTCCCTCTCCTCCAAGAGTCTGCTGGGTTTACTGGGTTGCTGAGTTATACAGCTTTCTCCCTCTCATGATCCTTTTGTCATATATATGCGCAATATGCAGTGGAAGGGCAAGTAACCAAGCTTATTTCAGTTTCATTAGAAGTCAGATCCTGAGTCCTTCTGGTTTTGAGTTAAATCCGTTGCACTAGCTCAGCATGTGTTTCTGGTTGCACTTAAGGGCGAGGCACCTCCGCTCTCGCTGGGAAGCTGATTTCTGCCCGAGGCTGGGAGCGCTGCCTAATTGCTCTGCAGAGGAGGCGTATCCGTGCGCCCGCAGTAACCTGCTGCAGATTCCCCCCAGAGCGTAGCTACAGCCACGCTGCAGTACAACCAACTTTTGCAGGCCATCAGGAGAAACAGGAAACTCAGGAAATGACCGGACAGACCCACCAAGATTTTAAAGGTTATTTACAACACCAGGTAGAAATTCAAAATGTGAAAGACCATGTTGGCACGGCTTAAGCCAGAAAGCCTCAGGCTGGCACTTTTGTGTCACTGTTTGACATGACTTTGTATAAATCTCATGTATATATTGCAATGGTACAGTCCTATGAAAGCCTCAGTTCACCTTTCTAAACAGCCCAGCATAACACAATAGAACCATTTTAATCTGCACTGAGATTAAATCTGAGCACTCTAAATCAGACTTTTCCTTTCACAGAATGTAAACAATCAAATCTCACTGTGAAGCCCTTTCCTGCTTTACTCAGCAAGAGGCTCTTATATTTCACCTCTCTTTTATTTAGTGAAAATGCTCTTATTTAAAAGACACTTTAAATAAAAGTGTTTCATATTCAACATGAGGTATCTGAAAATCTGTTTTATCCCGGCACTATAGAGCTGGAGGAAATCTGACCTGAGCAACACTCAGAAAAAGTTTTTAAAGAACCATGGTCAGATTATCGCCCTCACTTCTGTCTAAATCCAGAATGTATCTACTGATTTCTGAAGAACTTGTCCAGAGTTACATAAGAGAAAGCAAGATTTTAATGGATAGTTTGCTTTTTCAAGACTCTTGTTTTTGTAGGTCTCACCCTTGCAGTGCTCTGCTCCAAGTAACTTGCTCTACCTCCTGCTACCCCCAAGTGCTTTTCCTCGCATACCTTCTTGCTCAGTTGGATATTTAGGTACCTGTAAATGCAGTAAAGCCTTCTCATTGCCAGATGATCTCCCAGGCCTCTGTCTCCACCAGGCACATCCTGGTGAGAGCCTCCAGTCTGCTCCTCTGGGAAGAAGCCTGAACCGAGGGTGGGTTCTCCTGCCCTTCTAGGGACTTGCCAGGTGAGACAAGCACACCCAGGAACCAAAAGGCAGCTTTAACCCTCTGAGGCCAAATCAGGAGGTCAGCAAGAGGCCACTTGTGACATGACATCCCATGTGCACTGCCTAGCCCTGTTCTTTGGCAAGCTTCTTTCTTTCTGCAAGGAATGTTAGCTAATGTCAGTCATTTAAAAAATGCAGTTCACTTTCTAATGAAATCACAGAGAGGGAGGGGAGACCAAGAAAAAGAGGAGAAACTGGCAGGGAAGCCCATCATTCTAGTCTGTAATAATCAAATGGTGCTTGAATATATACATTAAGAAAGCGTCATTTGCCCTCCCCCTCCTCAGAGACTAATTTAAAATATTAAATTATTAAATAATATCACAGTTTTTACAAATTTCTAATACTATTGTGCTGCAAATCCTGTCTGATCCAACCCTCAAATATTTATGTAAACTTAAATATGTCTGGAAAGAAGTCAAAAAAATCCCCCAAATATGCCACACAATCTCATTCCCACATATCCCTCCCTCCTCATTTATATTCAAACCTTTTCCAGCTAGTTCCCAGCTGGTAGGTGGTGGTTGATGAGTGACAAGTGCAGAGCCCATTTCTTTGAGTGCATTGATGGCCAAACCTTTTGCCAAACAATTTAGTCTGGAATTTTCAGTAGTTGCAAAAAATATTTTACAGCAACCTCTATTTTTTCCCCCCTTTGGAAATAGATACATGTAGTTTGGAAATTTTTATTATTTATTATTATTGACAGTGTTCAGAAAGAGGTAACTTTTAAAAAACATTAAGTTGAAGTCTTTCTAGTCTAGGGTGCAGGGTATACTTACACACCATATCCTACTTAGCTACAGGTTCCAGTAAAAGCAAGATAGATAACTGTGAAATGCAGGCACTTATAAATCTTTCTGTACCATTTGCAAATTGCATCTGTCTCTCTGTTTCTTTGCAGTGGTACGGTTGACAGATGCTGCCAATTCACTTCTCTGGATCGGCAGAGCTGAGCAGTGCAAGGGTTGTGTGTAAAATGTGACGCATTGTCAACTGACTCCTGTACCTGATGGTCCCTCCAGAGGTGATGAAAGCCTTCAATTTCATTGGCTTCAGTGGTGGAGAATGCTGCCAGGGCTGGAGAGGCCGGGGTGTGACAGGCAGCTCCCCACTGAGGGGGGAATGACAAGCTGTGTCTGTAGTGTGCAATGTCAAGAAAGCTGGGAACCCCTGTTCATAAAGCACCAGAATTATTTGTGCCTGAGTACTCAGTCTCTTGAAGCATAGGACCTTCTTGGGAAGACAGTTGTTACTCCCTTCATAAAACCAATCCAACACTTCTGCCTTATATGGGGGCCTTTTGAAGCATATTTTTTCCTCATATGCAGCTATTTCAAACCCTTCATTTTGAAAGAAGATTGCATCAGCTGCTGCTGTGCAAGGTCTGGATGACCCTGCCTGCTGAGCAGCTCCAGGGCAGCCATAAATTGAAGAAGCACAAAATTCCAAAGCCACAGAGGTGGCCACATCCTCCTGCTCTGCGGTGGAAGGGGAAAATGCAGAGCAGAAAACAGAGCCTCCTCCATGATGCTGTAATGATGATGGAGTGCTAGCGGTAACCACAGAAGCAGAATAGGAAAATACCTTTTCAAGTGGATTCTTTTTAACAGTCAGATATGCTGATCTGCTCTTACAGGAATATTTCCAAGCAAGAATGAAATTAACTAAATCTGAAATCTGTATGACTTTGGGACATACTTAGGAGAAGGAAACTAAGTATGTCACCAGCTGGTTGTGCAGCAGCAAGAAGAAAAGGTGGTGGTTTACCCTGTTTTATGTTTCTATTTAAAGGATTGAATGCACAACATGAAGCCTAGTAGAACTACAAGCTGGAGTTCTGATGCAACAACAACCTTTCCCCCCTGCTTTCTTTCTGTCTTCAAAAGCAAAGCTCTGACTATATTCAGTTGTTCTTCATTCTCCCCCTGACAGTTTGTATCAGTTCCTCGCCCAGCTCTCTGAGGGATGGGACATTCATGTAGTCAGGGTGACCATTTCAGTTCTAAGAGACTGCCCACACAAGCCTCTCACCACTCCTCTTCTGCTGTCTGGTGGCCTCAGGTGGGTGAGGGGGGATCTCACCCGGGAGAGCATCCTGATCCCCCAGAAACAGACCTCAGAGAAAGATGCTGTCTTCAAGCTGGTTCCATAATGGCAAGTCAGTCCTAACAAAGCAGAGAATATCTGTATTTGGATTACTTTCTCCTTTCTTACAAATATCCTAGTGAGTGTGAGTCACCTGATTTCTTCTCCCACTTTTAACACAGTATTTTGCAAATATTTTTCACATTTGAAGCCTGTCTTTCCATATCTTGGTGAACTGTTAAATGAGAATTGTAAAGATATTATATTTTTTCCAAAGACTGCATTATGAGGAAACGCTTTTAATCTCTTATGATAAAAAAAGGGTTTATGTAAAGATATGTTTCTGTTAATTATTACACCATCCTGAAGATATTTTCTGCACAGAACTTTACCTCTAAAATGCCATTGCGTGGAAGATGAACATTATCAAAATTTAAATTCCTGTCTTTTCTGTCAGTAGTTATTTCAACTGAACTTATTCTGATGTTTCTCTAAAATAATATAGCGGTATAAAACTGCAGCTAGCCTCAGGGGAAGCCAATCAACTCCAGCCTTATGAAATATTGGAAATTTCTGCATTTATCAGGGGAAAATTTGTGCACTTTGAATATAGTTAGGTAGAACTAGTCAGCAAAAAGGGTTAGAAAGACATTGCTACATTAAGTATGTGTTGATTGTGTTTGTCAATGCAGGTCCCAAAGTGGGATTCTGAGTCTGGATGAGGTTAAAAGGAATATATGTGTCCACTATTTCTTCTAAGTGTGATCAGTAAATAATGTATTTTTTAGACATCTAACATTTTAATCCTTATCTTTTGGCAGTAGATCTACATTTCTGGAGTGGGAGTAGGCAGATTTTAAAATAACAGCTCATAATTTTAACCCTTTTTAATTTCACAGGGTTTGATTGCCAGGTGTGTGTTATCAGGTTTTAAAGTTTTTAAAGAATTATTCTGATATTCATCAACTGACTTAATAGAAGCCATCTACAGAAGACTAGGCAGCTGGGAAACTAGTTAATGAAATGAAAAATCCTCTATATTTTATTGTATTTGTATTCATCAAGTGTGACTTTATTATATGCAGCAAGGCTTATTTTCCAAGAAGGACTTTTAGAAACTACAGAGAGATCATAGGCAATACATCTAGATTTCATTCTACCTCTGAAATAATAGTTTTTATAATGTTCATAAGTTCTAACACTTCTAAAGCTGAATCTGGCTCACACCTCTAAGCAAGGGGTTGTGGTGAGAAGTCCTAACCATCTGCTTTGAAAGTGCTCCCCTGCTCCAAAGCACCTAATGAACACTCATTTTAAAACTGAAATAACCTACTGAGTTCTGTTACTTGCAGACACCTTAATAATAGAATCAAAGTACTTCCATTATGTATATCACCAGGTTATAGGACCTAAAATATTTAAAATCTGTTTTTATTTTAGATAAAAGAAGATCTGTCCTTTGAAAGGGTCAAGGCCATTGAATTTAAAGTAGACAGCAAAAAGGTTAAATTAACAACACGGAAAGTTCCTGATGCCTCCCTACACACACCACCCTCCACTCCCTGCAGGATTAAGATCATTTGCATCTGGTTCAAGCAATACTATTTTTATCTCTTTCTTAAAACAATGGAAGATGCAAAGATGTTACATAATTTTAATGGGAAGAAGAATCAGTAAAGGTTATTTGTTCAGCTTTCAGCTCACTTTATGAAGTCATAGAATTGCTGAAAGTGCCTTTGGAGGTCATCTAGTGCAACTCCCCTGTTCAAGGCAGAGTGAATTCAGGACTGTCCAGTCAGGTTTTAACACCTTTGGGCATAAGGACTCCACAACCTCTTTGGGCAATCTCTTCCCATTGTTTGATTAGCCTTAGAATAAAAATAGTTTTTTCCTATATTCAATTGGAATGTCTTGTATTTCAGTTTGTGTCCATTGCCTTTAATCCCTTCACTGGTTACCAGTGATAAGGACCTGGCTCTTTGCTATTTACTACTTTTTTCAAGTATTTATACACCTTGATAAATTCCCTGAGGCTTCTCTTCCCCCAGCTGACCAGTCTCTGTTCTCTCAGCCTCTTCTTCTGTATCAGGTGCTCCTATTACAGTCATCTTCACAGCCTTTACTGGGCACATTCCAGCATGTCCTCATGTCTCTTGCACTGGACTGGACACAGTCCTCCAGATGTGTCTCACCAGTGCCCAGCAATGTTGGCAAGGTTTTTTCCATTTCAGTCAATTGTTGGCTGTTTCTTTGCCACAAAGGCTCATTGCTGGATCATATTCAGCTCCTTATTCACCAGGATACCCAGATCTTTCTCTTCCAGTTACTTTCCAGGTGGCTGTCCTTCAGTCTGTATTGGTGCACAGAGCTTTTCCTCACCAAGTGCAGGACTTTGCATATCCCCATTTCATGAGGTCACCCTCTCTGTTTCTCCAGTCTGCTCCACTGAGATCCACTGAATGTCAGCACAACGATGTGGTGTGTATCAACCACTCCTCCCAATTTTTCACCATGTGTCAACTTGTGGAGGATGCACACTTCCCAGTCTCACATATCACTAATGAAACTTTTAAACAGTATTAGTCCAGTTCTAGCTGCTGAGGCCCTTGGTTACATTTTTTTATTGCTGAGGGCAACAACTTGAAGCGGGAAATTCAGGCACTTTCTGTCCATTTCACAGTCAATTTACTCAGCCTGTGCTTTCTTAGCTTCTCTATGAGGCTGTCACAGAAGCGTCAAAGGCCTTACTAAAGTCAAGGTACACAACATCCACTGTTCTGCCTTCATACAACAAACTAGCCTAATTTTAGAAGGCTGTCAGGGTACTTAGAAAACAGTTTCTCTTTGTAAATCCATGTTGACTAAACACAATCACTTTCTGGTCTTTCATGCAACAGGAAATAGTTTTCAGGATTATCCACTCCATCACTTTCATAGTGATTTAGGTAAGTCTAGCTGTCCTGTATTTCCCCAGATTTTCTTTGCTGAGAAGTGATGTTTGCTTTCTCTCACCCTACATTAATTACTCCCATCATCATGATCTTTCCAAGATAAGCAAGAAAGGCCCTGCTCAGTTACACTGAGCAGCTACCTCAGCAGTTTTGAGAGCATTCCATGAGACTCCATGACTTCTATATTTCCAGGGTCAGTAAGAGTTCCCTAACCTGACCCTCTAACAAGCTTACATCTTCCGTGCTCTGGGATCTGCCACTGTTTTCACAAATTGCTGAAGGCAGGTTTTTTCACAAAGATCAAGTGGAAAAGACCATTAGCACCTTGGCTTCTTCATTATTTATTCTCTCCAGGTTCCTTGCCATGTTCAGCAGTGCTTTGTCTAGATATTTTACTGCTGAAATATCTGTAGCAATCTTTCATATTACTTCTCACCTCTTTCACCAAATTCAAATCTACATAGCTTCAGCTTCCTAACATCATCCTCGCATGCTCAGTGGCTCTATATATCTCCTGGGACTGTTTAGAGTGTTTCTCCCAGCTGTCCATTCCACACAAAGTTCCTCAATATGGCAGAGTCCCAGAAACACCAGACTACCTTATCTGTTGTGCTTTTCACTATGGGATAACTATGGCTGTCTTGCTCTGAAGCCTTTCAAATACCGCCTGTCTTGGCAGGCATCTCAAATACAGCCACATATCATCCAGACATCAAAGGCAAGAGGAGAGGAGCATGTGCAGGTGACTTTTCATTAAAACTCCCCTTTGTTTTACTTTTGGCTCAGACAAGCTATTCATTAAGTTTTCCGGGCTCTCTGATCACCTAGACACAATCTCTTGTAGCATTCATAAGCATTTTGCCTGCTCCTGTCACAGGGATTAGGGGCATCAAGGCTGGCTAGAAAATAATTTCATCAAAGATTTCAAGTTTCTTTAGTTAATGTTCATTCCGCTTTGGGAGAAAACCAAGATCTCATGGATTAAAGGCTCAAACTGGGCTTTAGTCAGCATATTCCATGCTAGGTGCAAAGTGATTATCTTAGCTAGCATGTGAAGTGAAAATAGTAGAAACATGCCACGAGTGAGGTGACCAATTTGCCCTGTCACTGAGCCAGTGTTTCCTGTGTATTTTTACAGTACTCATTACTTGAAAGTCCTTTTTGTCCTTTCTGTTGCTTCATTTCTTATCCTCAGAAAGGTAATTTTTGTGGAATTTTCCTGAATTTTCCCTAACTCTTTCCATGGCTACACTTTTTGCAGTGAACATTCAGAAGGCGCTGCTGCTGATGTGCCTGACCTCCTATAACTTCTGTTTTGGATGTCCTGTGGGAAATATCTCCTTAAAACTGTGTTACTTTTTAGGCAGGTATTCACAGTGATATTGAGGTTTTACTGATCTGACCACACAAGATAAGTAAATCTTCTTCATATGAAAAGTTAGAGGAAACAGCAGTGCAAATCCCCAGGTTTGTGTGCTGCATGAGCTCCCTCCACCTGTTTGAAGCATGACAGTAGCATGCCTTTAGAAGCAGAATGTATAGCAGCTCAAGTGCAGTCCCCATGCTCTGCTGAAAGCACTAGGGCTTGCTTCCTCTTCAAAGTCTCAACTAGTCCTGCAAATTTTACTCCTTTAAACAACAGGAAAGAAATTACATCCCCCCCAGACCATTGCCTGTTCCAGGCCCCCTTGTGAAATGTCAGCCACAGAAGAATGTGCACATATTTATGAAATCACTTCTCATATAATTTTAGTCAAATTAGTAAGTACCACGGACATTTAAATAATGATTGTTAGGACCTAATTTTAAACATTTTGAGATGAATACAAGTGGTTAACTCCTCTCTACACCATTGTTTCTGCTTATCTGAAAGTTCATAAACAAAGCTTTCTGTTATTTTAACCTTAGTGTTTGAAGGCATTCTTTGAATTTGATTTATTAATGGTTACTTCTCTGCTCATTTCCCTTAGAAATAACCACCTGAGTACCTCAAGTAGACCTCTTTACTGATTTTGAATGTGTACTTCATGCTGTGGCAAACTTCAGCTGACAAAGTGTAAGCGTGTGAAGTCAATCTGAAAATAAGATTATATTAAAAATGTCTTCTCATCTTGTAGCAGCAAAATAATTAATCTCCATTAGTCATCACCTAATTGGAAGTATGTACAACAGTCAATGAATCATTAGGGATTCAGGCTTTGGTTTTTAGATGTATAAAATCTAACCCTTCCATTACGGACTTACATCTTGTTGTAGAAACTACATTTTACTATCCATATTAGAAAATCCTATAAAGACTGCACTTTAACAGGAATAATTGTACATGGAGACTAAAGCACATAGAAAGGACAAAGGAAAAGTCCTAAGACTGTTAATGAAGAGAAACACCAAGTTGTCCTCTTGACTTCATATAACAACAATCTATCTTGTCCTTTGGGGTGGCAAATGGTTTCCCTGCCAGGAAAGGATACAACTACATCAGATTAGGATCAAATTCAGAAAAGGTGTATTTGACTGTTGGTTTTAGGTAATACCTCCTTATCCCATATGTTGATATCAAAATACACCAGAACACACGAGAACTTCTGCTTGTAAGATCATCATTTAGAAGGAAATTTAGGAGGGCACAATGGTCTGTCCCAAACATATGAAAGGTTATTGATAGGCATAAGTGGGTAGAAATATTATGCATGTCTGAAATGTGTTATAGGAAAAGTGATCATTTTTTTTTCAAGGAAATAGGAAGAATAAGGTAATTTAAAATTTTCTGGTATTACTTTTGCCAAGGAAAGGAAATATCCCACATTTGTTGATATGTCACAGTCTCCAGAATTAGTAAAATATGGATTTGCTGTAATATGAATAAAGCCATCTCCCTGAGCACTTTGTTTGTGCATGCTTGGCTTTTTTTTCTTATTTAGCCAACCTTTCCCTAGCAGTGGATCAATCATTTCTGCACCTTGTCTGCAATCACACAGAAGCATTTTAGAGTAGAGAGGATGAATGATGAGCACTTCACACACATACTGGGGCAGCTCTATTCATTACCTTAATACAAACATACAATACTCACAATGATCTTTGTGGTCACAGAAAAAGTTGTTGGATAAGAGATTTCCTAAGAAAAAATACCTTTCAGATGGAGCCAAAGTAAGCAGCCTCATCTGCTCCCCTCTCTTGACCTTGTGGAGGTCTGTGTATGGTGCATCTGTAAAAAATAGTTCACAGAGTTCACAGACTTTTTCATGTCAATGGGTTTGGTTTTGGCATAATATGAAATGATAGGCAGTATTGCCCTATTCTGGCATCCTTCAGCTAGTACTGTAAAACATGAGCCCAGAAGTTGATCAGAAGCAATGATATGGTCTCACTAATAGAACAATACTCCTCTCAAAATATATTGTCTGCTGTGCACCCTGCTTTTGTAACAGAGAAATTACAAATAGGGTTTAGAATGGGGCTAGGCCAGCGCATTAAGTAGGATCCCATAAGAGAGTTCCAGCGAGGCCTGGGGCTCTGCAATTCTTTCATAGCTGAGAGGGCAGCATTACTGGAAACATCTTCAGTATATATCCTTGTGAACAGCTTCCCATGCTCGGCATAAACTAACCAGGAGCCAAACTTTCTCCCCTGGCTCTTTGGCCAATCAGACTGCATTTCATTTTCTGTGGGACACTTGTGAAAGAGGAACCAGAGAAGCATTTGCAAGGAAGTCAGCAATTGCCTAATCTCCCACAAGTGTGCTGTTCAGAATTTACACTAATATCAGCTTTTCTTTTGTTTGTGAACATTGCAGCAAATCTTCCATTTTGTTCTCCAGGCCACACTGGTTCCAGCAACTGAGAGAGTGGGGAAAATAGTTATGGGACAGACGAAAACTTCAGTCTTACCATTCAGAGATAGAAGTAGACCTGAGTCCGGTGTGTGTGATACATCTTGGATCCAAACTATTTAGGCACCTATTTCTTGAGTGCTGCATGAATACAACTACAACATGAGTAGGCTGACAGGGGAGCAGAGAGGATACACTTTTTTACTGACTTACATGACTAGGATGGAGCACAAAAATGGGGCAAAAAGAAAAAGCAAACAAGGATGAGATCTCTTTCATTTTCCTTCATTTGCCATTTCCCATTCAATCTACATACATTATGAATGTATTTAGAGACTGTGCATTTGCTATATGACAATTCAGGGCACTAACCATTTGATTCTGGAAGAGATTTTATTTGGACATCTGTAGAAATAGTCCTTTTTCTCACTTGTCGAGGTGAAGCTATGACAAACAAAGTTAGACAAATTGCTGTTCAAGAGACACTAGCTACAGTACGAGGAGTCTCAAGAAAATTATAAGCTAGAAAAAACAAAGCATAACTGAATATGTGACGCCAAAACGTCTCACTTCCCTCTCTCCATCTTCAATTATTTTTCCTTCTAAACAATCTAGGGGACTGGGGAGATAAGATCTGTTTTGAAAAAGGAAGTAATGAAGTAAAACTGGGGAAATAAAAAACCTCTAGAAGATAAAGAAGAGTTGGAGATAGTTGTATGTAAACAGAAAACCTGATGTAGAATACCAGAATATTTATTTAAATGTTGTGCAATTTGAAAGAACTCATCTTCTTTTCAACCTGTAAATCAATTTCTCCATGAAATATGGAAAAAAAGGTCCTACCTTACTATTAAGATTTATATATCAGCATAGAAAAAGTTTGCACAGTTAACACAGTTAACATCCTGTTTGTCAAGATCATCTTGATCTAATTCTCTTGTCAGCAAAGCCACTTTATGATAAAACCTTAACTCACAATTTGTTTAATATTTTTCTTCCTAGGAATTGCATAATTTTGATATTCTTTGTGATTTTTTCCAGTCGCAAAGCACTAAGAAATCTGGTCGAGAAAAATACAAAGCAAATCAATGCATGTGAGTGGCCACAATCATCACATTGCCTCTTTCTCTGTAAAATACTAAGCAGCTGCTGGCTTTTAGCGAGGAGGGAAAACAAAGACCTGTTAGTATTCCTGTGCACAATTTTTTATTTCACTTAGAGGCTGATTTTAGAAAAAGAAAGAAACAAAACTGATATGATGTCTTTCCTCTCAGGATCAACCCACATCCTTCATAGGGCAGGAAGAGCAGGTGAAAAAAACAGAGTACATTTGCCACTTCTATGGCTTCCATTACCCAGTTTATTCCATTGCCTCCCTGAGAACAACAGGAACAACCTCCAGCAGGGCGATTAGTTCAGTGGAGAAATGAAGTCAAGAGAATCTGCTGAGATATTTTGGCATAGGCATACTGAGTGTTGAAAAATCCTTCTGCAAAGGACTGTTTTTCTGGCTCTGCAAGCAAATCTGTAGCAAGTAATTTTCTCTTCAGATGTGTGGCTTGTCCTCACATGGAGAAGTGCAAGTTGCATCAATCTTGTTAAAGCAAATGCAAAACAGAGGAGAAGGGGAAGCCAAGGAGAGCCTTAACAAAGAAGGGGAAGCACAGTTTGAAAAGACAGCCAGGCAGCAGGCACTGTGACCCAGGATCTTGAACACGAAAAGGGCATGTCAGGGAAATGGTTTTTATGTCAGGCTGACTCGGAGCCCCACCACTTTGACGCCATTTGCATTTTGCTGATCGGGTGCATGATGGGACAAGGGAGATTTCAGATTTCCTGTCTCGTGGTCCATATCATCTAAGTTGACCTGTCCCACCTGGGCCCAGCTCCCATGAGTCAACAGAGGGAGATGTGGTGAGGACTTGGGAACCTGACTCTGACCCCTTAAAATGAGAACTGTACAGGCTGCCTTAGGCACATTGCAACCTCAACTTCAAGGTGCGCCTAGATTGGAGGGGGAGGAAGTAGCCAGGGTTTCTATAAAAGGTTACTGCAGACATCATTCCATGCAATGAATGAAGGTAGAGGGCTATAACCTAGGGATAAGGAGTTGTTAAGGCAGACAGACACCTTGGAAATGCTGACATCTGATCAATATCAGGCACATTTTAGAAGTTTGAATGAGATGTGAAGGATGTAGATGATAACTGTAAGCACATACAGAAGCTCTTCAGACTTCTGCCACCAACAGCCAGCTCCCAAGTGAAGGAAGTGGTGTGGTTGACTGGCCAGCATGAAAACAAGGCTTATGAGACTCTATTTCTGGCTCTGACAATTCTGCTGCCATCTCTTTATATACAAATGCATCTATTATAAGGTGCAATGATGCAGTGATTGGACAATGACCATATGGAGAGTGACATGCTCTGATGACATTTGTGACCCTTGCCGCATGTCACAGCAGAATACATGTATCCCCCTATTCTGCACCGAGCTGTATGGTTGCTTGATCAAACTTATGTTTCCAGAGTGACCTTCAACACAAGATGCAGATGTCACCCACTTTTGCCCAACTTTCGTCTCACTAGTGGTGCCTGCAAACTCCACACCTGCAGAAGGAAGAGTGTACCAAATCTCCTGCTTCCAGGGAAGATATGCTTATAAGAGAAGCTAATGAAATCACCCAAGATAAGCAGCTAGGGTCAGATGCTTCTGCGTGATTTATGTCAGCCACAGAAAAATGCTTCTTATTCCATGGACAATTTCTGAAATATATTTCTCTTTTGTTCAGCAAAGGACAGCAGGGCTTAAATAATGCAATGTTGAGAAATTTAATATCTCTTTTGTTAAGTATTCTCTGCTCTCTGGAGAGGCTCCCAGAGTCAGGATGCTTGTATTTACCTTCATAACAAATAGGGGTGATTAAATTTATATTAGTTCAACAGTTTCTGTGGTATGGTCCTGTTAATTTGCCCTGTGAACAGAAGTCAGCTGAGTCAGTTTTCATCACTTCAAAACCATACCAAGGGAGGAATAGAAGTGCTTGTTTTGGACATTTCCCAAAGTACAAAAATAGTAGTAATAAAAATATAGAAGGCATATGGTGGGCTTGTGTCTGGGGATGAAGCTGAGGCTAAGCAATATGTACATATTTAATTTTCCTCCCAGAGTGAAATGTATTTATTCTCTGAGGCTGTAAGAAAACTAGTGATTTATTTTTCCAAGCAAGTGTTCACACAATTGTGTTGTAATGCAATATGCATTATCCAGTATCTGATAAAAGTAATAACATGGACATCATAAGGTTTAGAAGGTAGTTAAATATTAATTCTTCATGCATTTCAAATTATCATGAAGGGATAGAAGGGGGCACCAATTATGCTATGGCAGCAAAGTTATAAAGTTCATTACTTTTCTCATCCTGCACCAGGAGGGTTAACACAAGATATTATTCAGATATAGTGAAAAGAGGAGGTAGTGGAATTTGAACAAGAGCAGCATGGCATTTCTTTGCAATAGATTCCTGTTTATATATTACACTTATGTAAGATTATGAAGCAGAGATTGTGTGAACCAAGAGTTTGTTTTGCCTGATACACTGGAAAAGTTGTTCAGTACTGGTTCATCTCAGCAAAGCTATTATTCCTTGAATGCTAGAAAGGTTAGGTGGGGTTGGGTACAGCATAAATACTGGCTGTCCAAATTTATGGGAGGGAGCTTAGCTCTTGCACCATTCCTTCTGAAACAATGATATTTGGGTCATTGTTTATGAATCTGGCTGCCATGAGTCAATCCTCTTCTCTGTCTCCCTTTTACATGGCCTATAAACAACTTTCCAGATGGGCTGGCATCTCACTGTTGATGGAGAGCTCTGCATAAATATCCTTTGTGTTACCCCAGTGGAAGAGGTGTGTGGTACAGCTACTCTGCTTGCACAGTGGTGTATGGGAACTTAAAGATGGACCTAGCTGATAATACTGGCTGGAATCCAGATGGAAGTAAGCATATCCTACTTTACCCTCTCTCATGCTGTAATTGAATATTTCTGGAAGACTGCAGTTGAGAAAGATATATAAAGAATAATAAATAGTGTTTGCAAGAAATTTAAATCCACTTACCTGATCACTAGGTTGAAATAAGGGACCATTTCAGGATGTGATTCTGCTGTGAATTAATACAGTAATTTCCATTTTAAAAGCTTGACTTTCTTCACTAATAAAATGTTTCCAAAATACTTAACTGCCTTTTTTGGCATTTTGTGTTGTGGAGGCTACATTTTTAGTTCTAAATATACCCTGTTTATGACATTGTTAGGACAAATGGTATTATGTGCAAAGTATAGTGAGATATTACATCTGGCATCCTGTTAATGACTTTAAAATCAGATTCTCTTTCTGATAAAAGATGTTGATCTGAACCTTTCAAGAGATTTGTCAAGTTTCAGGAGTAAATGAATTTTAAATTACTGTAGTTCACGTGGGTAAGGTCATCAGGATACATTCTTCATTGCTCTTGACTGCACACTGCAACAGAGATTAATAACAAGGATTGCTCCTTAATGCAAATAATTCTTTCTGTTTGCCCTATTGTGGTTTTGGCATTTGAGTTTTAGATGTGTAAGAAGCCAGAGGGCAGATCACACTGACCATTAAAAACATTGTATTATTGATTGATGCAAACTAAACAAAAATGCCATTTAATTACTAGAAAATTAAGTCTTGACTGGTTTGTTCTGATCCTCAAGGATCATTAAAGGGTGTAGTTGAAATATGAGTTTTTCTACAGGTTGACTAACATATATACCAGTACAGCCTATTATTCCCATTCTTGAGTTCAAGTAATATTGAGGAAGACATTCACTGAAATGCAAACATAAATGTCTCTTTATAATTAGAATTCTGGTTTTGTGGCAGGTATTTTTTTTTTCCTCAGTAAATAATTGCCTAATCATACTCCTCAAGGACCTTCTATGACCCTAAAAAAACCCAAAAAAATCAACATTACTGTGATAAAATAAGGTCTTTCAGGTCAAATATGTGTTTTCTGGTAGATAAGAATCTATCTCCTGAACTCATGGTGCCAAGTGACATCCCTGTTGACAGAAACAGGAGCATTCTTCAGATAAAGATAGATCCTAAATTGTCAGAATTTACCTAATTGAAGTTTTTTTTGCAACAAATAAAAACATTATGAATTTTCCTTTTCAGGCGTTTATATTTCTGCATGATGTCCTCCAGTGCCCATTGCTGTATTCCAGTTTTTCACTTCAAGATGGGCTGAAGGGATGAAAGTAAATAAAATAGAAATGTCCAGAAATATTTATTGCAGTTTATCTATATTTATCTATTCATGATGAATGAGTATGAATTCACACAATCTGTTTTTTCTCATTTGTAACTGTAGGCTTTTTGATAGGGAATAAACATCTTCTAAAATATGTTCATCAACCAAGCTGCTATTCAGTGAAAAAATTAGTTTGGAAAAACTGACTTTGATGTTTGGGTGAACACTTCTAATCAATACTGAGATACAAAGAGACAGTCTTGAGATGTGTGAGCTTGTATTGAATTATTATCAGTTCAGTGTGCAGAAAATGTCCATGCTGTCAATAATGCCAGTGTGTGAGAGAATTCCCTCCACTTCATTACTTGTGATCTCTTCTACAGCATCTGGGCAGTCATCCTTTAACTGCTTGGAAGTGTTTTAAATTTCAGTAAGTGATCCTAATTAGGCATCTCCTGATCTTTGAATTGGCATTCTTCAATGCTGCCTCACTGAAGTAACAAGAGTGAACAGCAATCTGTTAAGTTATGCTTTAAACAGAGGTAAATTTAGCTTAAATACTTAAATACTATTTGTCAGTTGAAATCAAATCCTTGCTTCTTACCAGATTTTTGTACCATTGCAAGATTGCTGGATCTCCAAATATAAAAGCAAGGGCTGCCTGTGAGAAACTTCCTTAACTGTCTTTCACATCATGCAGAACCTTTAATACACTGACATATGCACAGCTCTTACTTCATTGCACAGGGAGCTTCTGGGCACAATAGACCTTCTGGGAGAGCCTGAGCTGATGCCAGAAATTCAGATATGTCCAACTCCCCTTAAGAAATAGCACAGAATTGTTACATTCTGCAAGTAGGATCACATTTTTTCACAGCATGGGGATTCACCTCCAAAATGGTATTATCTCCTAAAATGGGCTAGATGCCGAAGAAAACAAATTTATGCTCATGCCAGGATTGCTGTCAACAACCTCTTCTGACTGCAAGAGGCATCACTTCCTCTTGGAGCTGCCACTTTCCTCCATGTCAGCAGAATAGTGAAGATCATGGTATAAAATTATTGCAAATCTGACATTTCTTTTTCCCACTTTTTAGCCTAAATGGTTTCAACACTTTTGACTTGGTTTACAGGGCTTTTTGTCAAAAAATAAGGTGTGATGAGATCCTCAAGATAAAGTCCCTGCAACACTTTCTTTTAATTAAAAAGTTCAGATTTGCAACAGGTGTCAGTTAAAATAAACAGTGTAATTGCCTTCTTTTTTTCCCCCATTCAGTTATTTCTGTATAGCCCAAATAATTTCTGTGGATTTGCTTTGGATTTGCAAGAGATTAGTGATCATCCAAGACTGAAAAATCTGAATTCTGTATAATTCTTTCTTTTTTGTGGACACAGAGTAACCACGTTGCTTGTCCTGAAGTGTGGTTCATGCACTGAAAGTTCTATCATTTTAAAGTATCTGTCATGAAGTTCAGTCAAAATAACCTTTGGCTTTTCCTGAAAGTCTTGGCCTATATTCGAAGCATCCCACCTCCAAACTGCTCTGAGACTCAAATGTTCAAAAGAGAAAAAAATTGTAGTCTTGCGAGAGAAAAGTCATAGGATGGCTTGCTTGTTTGAAATACTTCTAAGCAATAAATCATGGACTTGAGCTCTTTTGTGTGTGTTTCGGAACCTGTATGAAACAAAAAATGTCTTGAAGCCAAGGAGTCCTTAATCAATAGGAGATATGTATGATTAGACATGACTGAAGATTTTCTGAGAATGCTATTTTATCTGTGAATGCTATTGAAGCATCACTTAACAAGATGTTCTACAAGAATTTGATTACTCAGAGTCTCAGGGGACTACAGACTTGCTTTGTTTTGAAGAAGGCAGAAAATTTTATGCCAATGCCAGCATAACAGCTTCCATTTTTCTACATTATATTGTGTAATAAATGCAAATAGTAAAGTCAAAGGTAATAAATGCAAATAGTAAAGTCAAATGCCATTGCAATACCACTTTCACAAATAAATATTTTCTTTCATGAGCAGAGAACCAGAGATTTTTTTTTTCGTACCAGTCTGGGGACATAACAAAGCATCTGAACCTCAGCACCTCTTACTTGACGACTTTTTGCACACCAGACACCATGCTGGAGCTACTCCTAATTGCAATTAAGCTAAAGTTTACAGTAAATATACTACAGATTAAGTGACAGAAGCAACCAAAGAGACTATCTGAGTCTGACATACAACAGGGCTAGGGTAGATGCTGCACTTCTACATTTCAAAGTGTGCTCAGAGTGGGATGCTGCTGCTGGCTGAGGGGTCCCAGTGCAGATCCAGGCATGTCTGCATGGATCCTAGAGCAGATCCTCTGCATGTGTCATGCATGCTAGAGAAGTCCTGAAGGGCAGGGAGGGCCACTGTTGAGTCCTGAGCTCAGGAGGATGACCATGCTCCTTCAGAAATAGTTTGGGCTTCTCTGCAGAAGCAGATGTTAGTCACAGCAAAATTAATTTATCCACTTGTAGATTCTTTGCTATTAGTAATAAACTACCAGGACATCTTCATTGCCACATATTGCCTAGGGTGGGAAACAAAGAAGGATGTGTTTGACATGCAGGCATACAAGTGCTAATGACTAAGCTTCTTTGGCCTTTTGTGAAGACCAAAGGAAGCACCCTCCAGTTTTCCCCCAGACCCCTTCAAACTGGCAGCTTCTGGCCACATATTTCTGTGTGATCTTTTAGCACAGTAACATACATACACTAAAAAGGCAACTGGAATCATTACCCATGAAGACAATATTTCTTCTTTCCTTTCTCTTAAAAAGCCCTAGACAGAGAGGGAAACCTGATTTCTTACACAAATCCAGCTGATAAATAATCCTCATTTTTATTGGAAATAAGGGGAATTTTTCCCCTAAGGAAGCTGTATCTTAACACAACCCCTCATGGACATTTTGCCATAGTTTCTGCATTCCTGAAATTGGATTATCTCACTTTCTATGTAATTTAAAAGATAATATTTTTAAATAGACTATCTTCAGCCAAACCAATAACCAGAAATTCCTATCTCTGACCCTCTAGAAGTTTTCTTATGGTCTCCCTTCCTTCAGTTATTGAGGTTCTGCTCCAGTTTGGTCTAGGCCTGCATGCTTGTATAGTAGTATCACATAGGGACTCTCTTACATCAAAGCACTCATAAGAATATGAAAGAGGAGCTTCACTTATTGCACTGCTCTAGTGTGGCTTAGTGCCATGCTTATTTTCTTCTATAGCTCATGTCCAGAAGGAATGTCTTCTGCTTTTTCCTTGGATTAACTGCACATACTGAATAGTGGCAGCTGCTGTCACAGCCAAACCACTTAGCTACAGTGAAAAATCATGTCTGACAAAAACTAAGTTTTTGATGAAAATAAATTGCTTACATTGAATCAGAGTTGTTATGTATGACTAGAGTGATTCTCTTCCATTACTAAAATTATTCCATTTACTCTTCTTCCAAACACTCCTGTGATGAAACAAGGACATTCACCCCTCCTTGGAAGAAAGTGAAAATGTCAACGGAATAACAAATATACTAAAAATTTCCTCTAAGGGAACGGGAATGGCAAGAAGACAGAGCTTATTATCTTAAAATATGTAGTATTAGTGCATTTGCAGTTATGTTTAGATTGATTATTGCCTGGATAGTTGTGGGTTCAGGTAAAATTGCAGACAGACTAAAACACTATTCTGTGTCAAGATTGTGAACATTTCATTTTCTTGTATTTTTGCTTTTGTTTTATTGTTTGTTTCATTTGACCAAACATTAAATACAAACACTCTCAAATCTGTCTCTTTTCTTTCCTTCACCTTTTTTCTTTCCCACTTTCCTGTAGAAATTGAAGGTGGCATTTGACTGCACCGTTACAGGAAATAAGTGTCTACCTTCTTCCAGAAGATCTTGAATTCTTTCATGTTTGCTAAACAGCACTGTGAACTATTTGAACAGAGCAGTTAACACCCAAACATTAGTATCAGCCTAAGCAATCACCAGTAAAATTCCTCCTGAGGCAAAGGAATGTGGTATTTGTTTTTATTGTAACTCCACAAAAAAACCTAGTAATATGATTGAGAAATAAAAATAGAACTGAAACCTTACATCTTTGGGAAAACATTTATCTCTCCCAGTTGCATCACGTGTAGCCTGGAAGAATGACAGTAAAGTATAATGAACATTTGAGAGACAGTGGAAGTTTTCTCAGGTGAGACCATATATGTCTTTACCTTTTTAAAGACATCACTTTGAGTCTCTGAACTGAGAGACTCAGTTCACTCCAAATTCAATAGCTAGATAGCTTAAGCCACAGGAAAGAAAATAAAACTGTAATACAGGAACAAAATTCCTTTGGGACAAAAAGAGATGAATAGTTCAATAAATCATTTATATTTAATCAAATTAAAGGTACAAGGTCTATTTTATATGCTCTATTTATTTATCTTTTTAGGAGATGATTATATCATCATAGGTTTCAAGTTTTAGACAGTCAAAATTCCCTCCTTGCCTATTACCACAAAAGAGTGTTACCATGCTTGTCCCTTTGTGTATTATACAAACCTCATTCATCAAGGTACTTATCCAGACTCTTCTAAAATTGCTTCTCATACAGACAGTATTTGTAAGTTACTTTTGAAGTTATTTTTGGAATGAAGCCATATGGAGCAGCATTAATTTTCACCTCTCCAAATTACCAGGGACATTTGGGACTTTCTGTCAAAACAGTGGAAAATTAAGCCATTGCAGGTGTCCATGTAAACATCCCTGACACCTTGTTCCACTGCACACTCCCTGAGAAGATAAGCACACATCTGGGCACAATTGCTGATGCCAGAGCTCACACAGATCACACTTGAATATTCATGTTTCTGAAAGCATGTAAAAAATTTCTATATTGTTGCCAGTTTTGCTATCGTCTCATAAATAAAGATTTCAGAAAAGAAGATAGCTGGAAATGGGCCAATTACAACTGCAGAGTTAAACATGTATCAGCATTAATCCCTTACTAACTGTTCAAAGGCATATGGAAGCATGTATTTATATCAGCCTAAATACAATCAGTGTTATAACAGTTTTGGTACAAACAATCTGAAATATTTTCTTCTGAATTTCTAGGTATGTGTCCCCCTAATCTGTTTTGGCTCGCCATTGCTTGGATGTTCTCCCTCAAAATTAAGTGTCTTGTCCGGGGATAGCAGCTGCTTTAAAAGTGATACAGAGGATGCCATATCTAATGAGGAATCTCAAAACTTGTTTTGGTCTCCTCAGTTGTTTGAAAAACAAAATTACAATTTGGAAACCAATTTGAGTCTCTGAAATATAAATAATTGAGGTCTGTGGGGAAGGCAGCAAAGAGTCTACACACTGAGATTAGTTTGGCTTCAGTTTTGTAAATGATGCTACAGTGGCATCAGAAATACACATGCTCAGCTTATGATGCTCAAAGCCATGCATCTAAAATGGGCTAGGAAAAACAAGAATGTAAATTCATTCTGTCTGTAGACATAAGCATTTTTTCTTAGGCGTGCAAATACTCAAGACCACCCAGGCACTTAGGAAGTCAGATTAAAAGTCAATCTGCCACTGAACAATGAAGCCTCTGCAGCTTCCTTCGTCTCAGTCTTTCTTCATAATGGACCCATTTCAACATTCATCCATGAGACAGAAAGACTGAATTCTGCAGAAGAAGGTGAGGTACAGCAACACACTGTAAAAGGGATGGTACCCAATGTTGGGGAAGATGAAATAGGAAAGCCTTATTAATATGATTGCCTGGCAAAAGATTTAGAAAATACAGATACTGAGATGAGAACAAGATTTGAGATACCAAACCTTAGTTACTGAACAACTAGAAAACAATAGTACAGCCAGGATGAAGGCAATCCCCCCCTTCTGATTAAACAATGCCCTTTACCTACAGATAAGTCCAAAGGTCAAATGGACTATTCTGTCTCACCCCCAATGTGTGGTTCATCCCACACTTGTAACCCTCCCCTGAAGCATCAGGAGTCTGTGACCCCATTGGCCCAAGTCTTGTTCCAGACCACCTTGAAGTCCCCTGATAAGGTGTGCCCAAGGGGCCAGACGCCCTCTTGGAACTTCCTCTTGGAACTCTCTCCTAGCATCCTCTGCCCCTTGCCTCTCCCTGCACCCACTCCCTAGGGCCTGCCACATGTTTTGCCTGGTAACTCCAAGCACGGCCCTTCACCCTTTATAATAAACCACATATTCTAAGATCAGACTTCTGAGATCTCTTGTCTCCATCCATCCAGATCATCCTGGAGTCCAGCGCTCCCACAACCCTACACTGGAATAATTACAGCACATCTTCAAAGTAACAACAACATCACTTCTGGATCACGTCTCTTCAGTCTTGATAGCTCTGAAAATTCTCAGCATGTTATTCCAGTCAAGAGGGTGGCAGCTCTTTAACATTCTGAGTTACAGAGTGAGGCCATTTCACACATTTGCAATATTAATATATTATAATACATCATGTTGACTCTTAAGAAAAAAAAAAAAAATCATATATGATGCACAGACAGCTCCAAAAGTAGTTTTTAGCAAATACCAAGTGTTGGTCCATATACATCACTAAGGATTTGATCAACCACCAACTTTGGCAGAGTACACACCAGGTACCATCTTAACTATAAAGAGCCGGTATTCAGAAATACAGAATACTTTGTGTTAGAGGGGATTGTCCAGGTGTACAGGGGATGGACACCTCTCACTTGAGGCTAAAACAACAAGATAAGGGAAGAGGCAGGTGAGAGAGGCAGGTGAGAGGTGGGATAGTGGTCTTTATCATTACAATGTCCTTGCAGAAGAGGCTCAGGTGTGAAAACTCCCCTCTGGAAGAGTGAAGTACCGGGACATTTTCAGGTAAGCCTGAAGATATTCATCCCTTCTGACGAGCCATAATTGATTCAACCATGCAGATGTAAGAGGCAGCTATAACATCTTGGAAGATATCAAAGATTCCCAAAATGTCCCATGAGCCACAGTATTACATTACCCAGCATAAAATGCCTGTCATTGCCACCTAGCCTGAGTGTATATTAACCCAATGGACTTCATGTTTTGTGGGTTTCCTCCACCCTGAACAGGTGAAGGCCTCATCATTTTGCCCAAGGAACATAGAAATTGCAACAATCAAGTCTTATGGCTGGATCCAAGGGTGATGACTATATCCCTTTCTACTCCTATTCTTTGTTTCTTTTACCTTATGCCTTTTCTTAAGTGTTATTTTTATGCCTTTATATTGCTACATTTCTAACAAAAACAGCTACATTTTAAAATCTTCCAAGAACCTTACCATTCTAAAGTTTGCAAGTAAATGTTTGTTATTGTGTGTCCTGAGATTTGCTCCTGCACACCACCCAGAGTAAATTAAACTACTTAAACCCACCCAATGGATCAGAGCATAACAAGTTGTCAGCACTTTGGTGTCTCTTTCTATTCACCCACTCAAGAGGTGTGGGAAGAAAGGCTGCCAGTGAAGACTGAAGAGAAAACTTACGGAGTCCCTCAGCATTCTCTTTGTCTGCTGTTACCAGTTTGCCAGCATTGTTTATCAGGGTAGGTACAATTTCTTTGGTCTGTCTTTTCTGGGTGGCATACATGTAGAAGCCCTTCTTGTTATTCCTTGAAGCCCCTACTAAGTTTGCTTCCAGCTTTTCCTGGACCTTCCTCAACCCATCCCTATGTAGCCATTTTGTGTCCCTACACTATTCTCAGCATACCTGTCCCTGCTTCCATTGTCTAGGCATTCTTGCCCTTTAGTTTGAGCAGAAAGTCTTGACTATCTATACCAGTCTCTTCCCTTCCTTTCCTGATTTCTTATACCAGTGGATCAAGAGTTTTGTGCTCTAAGGAAAGTGTCCATAAAGATCTGCCAGCTTATTTCTGCTCCCTTGTCCATGAGGCAGTTTCCCTTGTCATCCATTAATTCCTTGAGCAGCTGGAGTTTGCTTTCCTAAAATTCAGGGTCCTGACTGTGTTCTTCACCTGTCCCATATTCCTCAGGACTGCAGATCCACCAGTGGTGTTCACTGCAGCCCTGGCTGCCTCCATCCTTGACATCAGCCATGAGCTCACTTGCACTGGTGACTGTCAGGTCCAGTAACAGATCCCCTCTGTCAGGGCTGTCCATTACCTGGCTTAGGAAGTTATCCCTGTGCACCCCAGCAGTCCCCTGGCTTGCCTGCAGCTCACTGTGCTTCTTTTCCAGCAGATGTTGGGGGTTGAAGTGCTGATGTCCCGAGTTCTGTTTGCCTGCTCTCTTAGCAGCTTTCTAAGATATACCCCACCATCTTACCATACATTTTTTAGGTTATAGAAAGGGAAATGTTATCTTGAGATTCAACACAGCCAAGTGCTGGCTTCTGCACTAGTGTCACAACAACCCGACACAGCACTAAAGACCAGCTGGAAAGCTGCCCAGAGGAAAAGGACCTCAGGATGCTGGTCAACAGCAGCTGAACATGAGCCAGCATGTGCCCAGGTGCCAAGGCTGTGATCAGCAATGGTGTGGCCAGCAGGACCAGGGCAGGGATTGTCCCCCTGTGCTGGGCACTGGTGAGGCCACACCTTGAGTCCTGTGTCCAGTTTTGGGCCTCTCATTACAAGAAAGGTATTGAGGTTCTGGAGTCAACCCAGAAAAGGGCAACAGATCTGGCAGAGGGTCTAGAAGGTAAATCATGTGAGGAGCAATTGAGGGAGCTGGAGTTGGGGGATTGTATGTCCTGGAGAAAAGAAAGATCAGGAGTGACCTTATCACTCTCTACATC